TCCAACTTGGAGTCGCAACCAGACAATGACGCCCTCCCTAAAGAAATCTCAACCAAGGAGCTCGATTTCTGGATCAAAATATCAACCGGTGCTGCCATCACCGTGTTGTTAGTCATGTGGGTGCTTTGGCCCTTGCCATTATACCGCGACTGGATCTTCACTAGAAGTTATTTCAAGGGGTACGTCACTGTGGGATTGATGTGGTTATATTCTACATTGTTGATTATTGGAATAGGGCCATTGATTGCCGGGAGACGCACCATTGCGTTTATTGCAAAGAGTGTGTATCAGGACTACATAAAGAGAAAGTAGGGCCCACCCCCACACCATCTCTGTTTTGCAGTTGTTTGTATAGAGTATTATATAGTTCGTGTTAGATTTTCGTTTTCTTAAATTCATGGTTTTACATTGACCGAATTTACATAAATAAGTATCATCCACACCTCCTTTTATTTCTCTTAGATATCTTCATCCATTCCGTCTAAGGTAATAGCCTCGCCGGGTTTGAAAGGAGGCAATCCCAAATAGGGACATCCATCACACCTAAAAGCATCTCCCAAAGCACAAGATCCACATCCACCAGTTTTACCCTTGACAGTGAAGTCAATTTCAGTCAAGTCCTCCTCTTTGAACTTGACTTTTTCACCCTGTTTCTGTTTCAATCTAGCTTCAATCTTTTCTGCTTCTAAACTAGCTGACTGGGCCATTTTTCCCAATATCGAATTCTGGAGCAGTTGTTGCTTGGAGTCCTCCAATTCTTCCATCTCCTTCAACCCACATGTACAATCCTTACACGCTTTTCTTCTTCTTTTACCATTGGGTAATTCGCATTTCTTGGGTATTATCAAATTGTCCGTTTTCAAGTCTTGTATTAGTTCATCTTCATTGATGTATTTGTCAGCATCGTCGTCAATATCAATGTCATCACCGTCATTATCATCATTATCCGAATCACTGAAATAAGTTAGCTTCGTCTCAACTAGTTTCCTCTTCATGCCTCCATTTTCGTTCTCCTCATCGGTGTTTGAAGCTGATGTATCGGTTAAACCTGGTGCTGCATTCTGATCCGATAATTTCTTAAACATGGGCAATTTCTTCAATGTCGAACCACCACCATCCACGTGAGTATAATTGCCACCCTTGTTTAGTTTCTTTTTCAACTGGACAGTTTCGGTCACCGGCTTGGGCTTAGTCCAGGATCCATCTTCTTCCACTACAAAACCTTGCATCAAAACGTCCAAATTTTGATCCTTGGGTAAATCCCCCTTCACTACACCACCTGATGTGGCCAACAAATCGAACAATAACTGAATCAACAGTAATGGCATCTCCCGATACTCATCTTCATTAGGATTGATGTAGTAAATTTCGTTATAGGAAGCATTGTTTAAAATGACATCACCCTGAGTAACTCGGTTGATGATTTGTTGATCTATATGGTAATCGACGCCGCTGTGCAATTTGGCTAGGTCTGATTTGATAGATTCTACTGAATGAGCATCAGTAACGACAGTTGGGTGTAAAAGTAAAAGTATCCTCGTTGTCATTGTACGTGTGATTTGTAAGCGCGTGTGAGACCAAAAAAAAAAAGTGGGAGGGGGTGTTAGGGTGTGCGTGATCGAGTTTGACAAGTTGGCAAGTATGTGTTGATCTGTAGAATGGGATAGTTGAATGTAAAACAATCAAATGCAAACAATGAGTTATAGTCTTGGTTCTTGCAAAAGAAAAGTTGTTCCTCTATATATAAGATCTTCTCAATCAGTTGATAATTTTCTTTTTTTTTTTTTTTTTTCTTCTCTCCTTACATACAATTTTATTTCTTATTACTAATTTATTTCCAAGGTCACGTGAAAAGCAGTAAAAAAAAAGAAATTCAACGATAACAATCACATTACCAGGAAAGTGGCCGAGCCGAGAGAGTAATCATTGTTATCTATTTCATCATTGGTTTATATTGTATGTGCATTCACAGAAAAAGTTACACTATCGTATTTAGTCACACGACCAAATCCAACTCACTTTCTATTATATGTCCTTCAATAGTGTAGATATCTATATTTCACTTTTTCCACATCCTCTTCTTGCAAGTTTACCACCTCCAAAATCTGCGGATCACCAGGAAACAAATCAATGCCGTTATCGCTGAAAGTGTAGTCAGTTTCAACTGTATCAAAATACAATTGAAGTCCCTTTACTGGCTTATTTGTTGATGCTCGATATTCGCCTAAACCGAGGTATCGTAACTCAATCTGCAAATCAGACGTCAACTTCTCCCAATTCAAATTCTTTAACGGTTGTGGCCAATCTGAAGACCTAGCTAGAGTCACATCCTCCTTCAACAATCTTAGATATACTATTGTATCCACTTTCAAGTGAACAAACGTTGCACCCGTCAAAATAGCATTCACGTGGTTTTCTTCAAATGCAACATCGCGCTGTTCAATCTCATCAACAAGTACCCCATCTACATTGTAAAGTTGAACACTCAATGTCAAGCCCTTGCCGCCGCCAAATCCCCACACATCAAGCAACACCTCTGGCTCTTGAAGCACCAGTTGACCAGCAACTGCAACTGCAACTGCAGCCCCATCGCCAACTCCCCCTCCTACCACACTCCTATATCCAGCAACACTAACCTCACTCAACTCTCGCTTCATCCCATAATAGCTCAATTTGGGCACTTGGTCAAAACCAATCACTGACCATGACACACTGGGCCAACAATCATTCAATTGCCAAACCAAGACACCGCCAACTTGAAATTGATCCCATTTTCGCCTCCAATACCTAAATGCAAAAGACACAGCCTCCAGTTGCATCAATTGTGTTAGATATATCCAATTTTGCAAATCAAGCTCCTTCGGCTTGTTGAGATTGGACCATACGTAATGATGCAAATTCTCCTTGTTTGCGGCTCTGGTGTGAAAGTCAATCATTTCCAGATCAGGGTATAATTCACTCACATTGGTGATGTACTTGTGGAAAGTGGAGTACGAAGGTAGGGCCAACATGCCAAACTCACTAATAAATCGAGCGGATAATTGGCGCCAAGACTGGTACGGCAACTCACGGCCATGCCAAACATCCCACTGATGTGAATCACCAAATCTCAAATCATAAGAACTATGAAGGCTATCCGAATAAGGTGATCCGAACCGATATGCCACTTGTTTCCTACTGGTCAAGTTGTCCAACACCTGAGGAATTACATCTTCGTAGATATATTTTGCTGGAAATTGACTACTATTGTTTGTATCCAAGTTTAATGCGTCGGCAATTTGATAATCTTCATTATTTCCAGCATAGATAACAACACTGGCAAAGTTACGTAATCTTTTGACTTGATATTCAACTTCGGGTTTTATCAGATTTGCGAAGGGTTCATTGGGGTATATACCACACGCAAACATGAAATCCTGCCATACCAATATACCTCTGGCATCGCACAATTGGTAAAATATATCCTTTTCGTATTGCCCACCTCCCCAGACCCGAATCATATTTTGGTTTGAATCAACGACATAGCCAATGTATGTTTCGTAATCTTGTTGAGTAACTTTGGACGTAAATGAATGCGGTGGTATCCAATTCGACCCAAGCATTTGTATAGGTTTGTTGTTAACCTTGAAATAAAATGAACTTCCCGTAGTGTCTGACTCAGTTATGAGTTCAACTTTCCTGAACCCAACAGTTTTACTAATCATTAGCTCATCATCAAAGAATACCTTGATACTGTACAAGGTGGGCTCACCGTGCCTGAAGGGAGACCATAACTGGATATTCTCCAAAACGTGACTGATATTCATTCTTGACCTAACTCGATTAACTTCAACCACGCCAATAGTCTTCTCATTGAGCTCAATCTCAATTCTAGCTTGCACAACCGGCGCTAACAATATACTTTCAACTTCAAACCACACATAAGCAACATTCAATTTCTCATTCAACTCGTATCGGATATACAAATCCTCAATGTAGTTACTAGTCACCAACACAATCTCATTGAACCCACACGTAATCAACCTGGGTCCCCAATCCCAACCGTACTGGAACTGTGGTTTACGAACATAAACCCGACTGCAATCACCATTCCAACACTCATGTGCACCATATTTGGATTCTAATTTCTTACCCAATTCCATCCCAGATTTCAACCTCACTTTCAACTCATTGTGCAGTGATAAATTGACACTAATTCTATGCTTTTGAAACGCATTAGTACTTTGTAAAACCACTTTATCATTGAGCTCAACTTCCGCGTCAGTGTCCAATTGATCAAGCAAAAGGTACGCAAACTCCAGTTGATCTTCATTCTCATGTGTATCTAGTGCATCAAACAAACATCGGTACTCCCACGTCAACTCACTGACCCAGCTGACATTCAACTCATTTTTGTCCATGAATGGATTTGGAATGAGGTTGTTGTATAGCAAGTCAACATGGATTTGATGTGCTGGTTCATGAGGAACTGAATTATACCATGTTACAGCTCCTAGTGATGTGGCTGGGTGGTGATGGTGTTGTTGAATCGGTGCTTGCCTAAATGTCCAATTGGTCAATACACACATAGTTATCGCAAGTGCGGGGGGGTGGGGAGTGATTAACAATTATTGTTCTTTTGTGTTGCTGCGAATCAAAAGAATACGCAGTTGCATAAATACTGAGAGTAAAAACTAATAAATGGATTTTTTTTTACTCTAGTATCTAATATCTCTTGTTGTTATTGTTTCTATACAACCCTGTCTCTTATTTATCTTCTTCCACCGTTCTATCAGAATCGTCCCCATCATCCTCTCCTCCACCCCCACCAACTACCACATCCTCATCATCAGTATCATCAGTAGCAAAAACGAGCCCTTTCCGAGATCCCCTTTGTTTGGCTTCGGGACTTTTCATAAATCTCGTTAAAGGAGGTAGATGTGGTGGTTGTTGCATAGTGGCAAAAGTGGGCGATGCAATATGCACCAGTGATGACCGCGACGAAATTGGTGAAGCGACATTATCCCCAAACGGACCAGACGAAGTTGCTCCTGTAGCTGCTGCTACTGCAGCAGCACTAGCAGTAATAGGTCCATTGGATGGAAAGTTGCCATTGCTGTTCAAACTCTGACTTCGTGAATGGGCATACTTTGCAGATTGTGGCGATGCCAATGACATCAATGATATCACTGCATCTTGCTCATTATCTTTTCCAGGAAATCCTTTTATTTGGGAATTATTGTACTCTCCATTCAAAGCGACATTGAGAGGCGGTAGTTTGATTTCCTTTTGCGCCGTTGTGATTTGTAACGCTGGTGGTCCTTCTGCTGTTATTGAATTCCGCTTGGCGTCGGTGTTGGAAAAAGAGGATCGCGATTTTCTACGTTGTCGCGATAAGGCAGCTAATAACGCCGAATGTGCACTCGTTTCTTCATCTGGTGAAGGCATATCGTTCAAACGTGACCAGCTTTTCCTGTTGTCACCTTTCAATATGGGCGAGGTCTTTAATGGTGAGTTTGTGTTTGATCTGAAACCTGTTTGTTCTAATCTGGGTGACGAATTGGTAGATTTGGCTATGGGAGATTGTTGTAATGTTTGTAGATTGAGATTGGCTCTTTGTAGGGTATTTGTCGGTACCCAATTGTTTCCCAAAGCTGAATGTCTCTTTGGGGTATGTTTTCTCGTTGGGGATGTTTGCGAATCAAAGGATAGCTCAGTAAATGAGATTTTGGAATTGTGGCTTGAATCGTCCTTTTGCAATTTCCCCAATGCCGAACTCAATTTGCTTCTTAATTGTGAACTTATTTCCGTCAAATCGTCTCGTTTGTTACCTCCACCATTGGGGCTTCCATCATCACCTTGAAACAACTTCTTTGCCGTGTTCCCCAAGTACTGTGGAGTTTTCATCATCTTGAGCCTACGCCCGTCTTCATCTTCCTCGCCAGTAGGTGAGTCTTCAATGGCTGAATGTCGTGGTGTTTTCAATAAATGAGCTGCACTAAATGGCGAATTGACATTGTGGTACACCAATCTCCCATCTGGTGACTTGTATGATCCAGTACTAGTTCGTTTGTATGATGGAGTATAAGGTAGTGAAGTGGTTGCTGTTGAAGATGCAGAATATCTCTTGCTTGCGTCTTTTGGTTGTTCTGGAGTCTTGAGAAACGATGCTGACACACGTTTTCTATTCGGAGGAGATGGAGTTGATGGCTTATCTAGGTTTGTTTGAGAATAATCGTGACTTTTCCTGATTGACTTGGTGCTGTTACTGTCGTTCGAAGCTATGGGGATGCTAGTGTTGTTGTTGTTGTTGTTGTTGTTGTTGCTGCTGCCACTGCGTAAGGCGTCGGGTAAGGTAGCAGCGTCATTGTTGTGCAATACTGCTGACGCAACTACAGGCGTGGATGGAGTGCTCATGGTATAGATGTACTGGCAGTTGATAGTCTTTCTTCTTTCCTTGCAATGTATATTGTTTTTCTCCCTCACCACTGAGTCTAGTAGTTTGAATATGCTTGTATCTTTTGTTACTTTAGTTTCCCCTGGCGTTTTGTAAAAGAAATGTCGTGTTTCGCAAATTCTGGTCGGTTTATTTTTTCCTGTCATTTATTTTTTTGTTTTTTTCTTCTCCTTATGTTTTTATCTCTGGTTAATATTAATATACGCTTCACAATAAAGCAATTTTAGTACAACACATTCCATATTGTAACAAGTTGTTAGGATGGACAGGGATTTCGAAAATGTTATAAGATCTACGAGTGTGGGGTAAAATGTCACACATAGGATGGCACATCACCTAAAAAATGCACTGGAAATTCCTCCAGCAACTGTAGTTGAATCAATAGTTGTGTAAGGAGTACTAATTGCAATTTGTGCCAGATACAGAAATATCAATCCGGGTGTTGCGAGGAAAGGAATCCAATAAAGTCCGATTGACGTATGGAGAATTTGACGAAGTAATACATCATAACTCTGTTAGAAGTGTAGAAGCACCATCAGAGATACGAGGAATCCTTTACTTGTGACTTACAGTTGCCACCAATCTAGTTCAACCCCAAAAGCCACAGTAGACATTTGAAATCAGATTTGTCAGCTAACGTTACAAAGATCTCTGATACTACTTCTCTACTGTATAGTCAGAGAGGAAGGACCACACACACACTTTATCACTTATTCTTTGTCGTGTCGTAGATTAAAATAAATAGTAATTGTATTTGCGAGTTAATTGCCTAATTGGGAATTTGTAAACAAAGACAAATCAAATGACGAAAAAAATAAAAAAGAAGTAAAAAACGACAACGACAACGACAACGACGACATTAATTAACAAATGAAAATATCCCAAAGAGAAAAAGAGAAAAAGAGAAAAAGAGAAAAACCTAAATATCTCTCGAACAACCTTTATACAGGAAGCTCTATTGGTTGTAAAGACAGACACTACCAACTTGTTTACATTCCATCGCATCACTAGATTTCAATACACGCATACGCATCTTCACCCTACAAAGTGGTCATAATTCTACACAGATTACAGTGTAGTGATTGATTTCCCCCTCGAATTCAAGTGAAGTTGAAATTGCATACTCAACGGTTGAACAGGAAAAGAAGCAAAAGAAAAAGGAAAAAACAAAAAAAAAATTAAATAAACAGCCAAAAACCATAAAACCAAAACAAATCATTATTATTCAACTACGTCAGACACCCACAACAAGACGCCAAAAAAAAAAGACAAAAAAAATTAGGACAAGCTCTGAACAAGACAATTATATGCATTGATACGGTCAAGGATGAGCCAATCCACAAATGCACCACCTCTAAAACCACTTTTCCCACTACGAAAACAACAACGATTCACCAATGGTGGAACCCGTTTGTCGCTAGGGACAGCTTCGAGATCATCAACTACTAATTCAACAGCAGGCATGACGCCTCCAATTGCCAATTCGTACGGAAGAAGACTAAGTACAGGAGCGAATGGAAATGTCCCACAAGCAAATCCACGTCAAAGCTTTCAAACAAGTGTTCAATCCAGCACGTTGCATGACAATACCCCATCCACAGGAAACAAACGTAGATCTGTGTTGTACTCGGTTCCTGCATCAACAAACAAGAAAAGAGCAAGTTTGGGGATACCATCGCTGCAGGTGTCACAACTGACTAACGCTCCAAGGACAAGTTTTCAGGCTCTGCAGGAACTTCAGCAGAGGCAATCACAACTGCAACTGCAACAACCGTATCCCAATCGACAAATACACTCGTCACAACCAACACCACTGTCATCACAGCTGTTACCGTTTCAATCGCATATACCCCAGCCTCAGTTTGGAGCGCTACATCTGCTTTCCACTGATAGAGCATTGAATCGAGCAAGACAAGAAGAAATGACTCAAAGGATCTACGCGTTTCTTGCTAAAAACCACTTTGAAGTGAAAACATCCATATCTTTGAATGAAAACACCTTAAAGATTCCAACGCAACGTAATTTTTACGAAATATTCAAGTTCATGTACCAATTCATAAACCCATTCTATTCATTTCACAAATCTGCAGAACAGGAGATAATACCGATACTAAAAGGATTACAGTACCCAGCATTGGGCACGATATCACGCTTACAGTTTAATGCTGTTGGTGGTCAAAATTGGCCCAATTTCTTGGCGATTTTGGAGTGGATTCTTATACTTGTCGAGTCCAATGCCGATGATGTTAATGTTGATGTTGATACTGATGACCTCAGTCCCAACGACGATTTTGATCGTATTTTCATGAAATTCAACTATAACTGCTACCTCAAGTTCCTTAATGCCGATGAAGACTACGAAGCTTTGCACCAACAAATGTTGGCAGAGTTTGACGAAGAAATGAAGAATTACCGAAGTCAGGAAGACAATCTCATTACTCAAAAGAACAAATTGGAAGAAAATATCAAACGCTTATTGAACGAGTTGAGACTCAGAGATGATGCCGATAGAAAGACAATAGCCTTGGAAGAGGATTTTACCAAGCTTCGACAATACATTGAAGAAGTTCAAAAGAGAATTCCCGAGTGGGCAGCAAAATTACATCAATTGCTGGATGAAGTCCATGCGGCAAGTGAAAACTTGACGCTGTTGCAGGAAGAAAGAGAGATGTTGAAGCGAGAGTTCCAGGTGAAGGGAATATCAATCGAGGCAATTCTCGATTTAGAAGTCAAACGTGACAAATTGTTGAAAAAAGTTGAACAAGAGACAATCAATCTAGAGGAAAAGAAAGACCATTTGCAAGAAAGAATAGCTGATGTTGAAAATGCAACTTTTGTGATGGAAAAATTGGTACTGAGTTACAACATTTCTGTGGAAAGATTCAACTATCATAATCTGGGTGATTACAACTTTGGATTACAACTTAAGGACTTGAGTGATTTTTCGATTGCATATGAAAGAGACGAGCTATTCAAGGACAAGACACTAGGAGAAGAGTCACATCAACTCAACCTGTTACTTAGCAGTAATTTGAGCAAGTTGGCGCGAAACCAAGAGGAAATCGCTGATCTCAAAAGTCAATTCAGTTCAATGGAGGATAAGATCAAAAATCAACACGAAGTCTTGGACGAGCTTCAAAAAGCAGAGTACGACCAAAAATCCAAGAATGATGGAATATCTCAGGAAATTTACAACCTTCAAGCCCAGATGTCGCAAGATATAGAAAGCCGTGAAAAGAGAATAAGAGATACCAATTCATCAATAACAAGGGACATTCTTCATTATGAACGTGCTATTCAAAACACTCATCTCCAGAAAAAGATTGCTATTCAGCACGTACAGCAAAAGCAACTTGAACTTGATGAGCAAATTTCCAAGGTCCATGCCAACGCTACAAAGTTCAAGACGTCATTGGTTGAACGATTGATATCTGCGTTTGATGATTTGAGTTTGAGTTCCAATAGTTGATAAAAGACCAAGGGAAAGGAATTTGGGTCTGCATGAAGATCAATTTCATCTCAATTATACCCTACACAACTGCATTCATTTGTATTAATTTCTTAAATTTATTTCTATACCCCCCAATTGTATTATTCAGATTTATATATCAAATACACTACATTTGTATAAATTGTATATTGTACTGGACAACCCTTTGATTGATTTTTTCGAGGAAAATTTAATCTTCTCTCTCGCACAACTTGCAACACACCAACTCTTCGTCTTCATCATCTTCTTCTTCTTCATCAGCATCATAAATGAGTGACATCAGTATATTCATCACGTCGGACTTGACCTCATCTGAAAGAAGAGTGTCCCCACAATGGTCGCTAGAATATTTCAAACAGAAACTTGAACTAATTACGGGAGTTGAGCCTCGAAATCAATTACTCCAGTATTTTCCCAACAAATATTCCAATGAGTACGTCCAACTTCCATCACAGCAGCAGCGGAATGATGAACGGGATGTACGCTTGAGCGAATTGGGGTTGAAAGAGTACAGTCGCATACATGTCATTGACATGGATCCCAATTCCACTGCCAATCAAATCTCCTCCACCATTTCACCAGCAGGGGGAAACATACTTGATGCAAATGCGGAATACCAAATGCTGGAAGAAGAGTATCAGAAACGAAACAATACGGTGTTGAAGTGGAAACAAGAACAAAACTTGGGTCGATTTGATCCTGAATACGAACTACTCCAAAAACACATAGCTGAAGAAAACGCTGCAAAATTGGCCACTATCCACATCAATGACCGGTGTCGTGTGATTAACATTGAAGGTGAGAGAAGAGGCATTGTGCGGTTTGTTGGCAAGATTGAGCATTTGGATCTGGGTAAACTGGACTGGGTGGGGATTGAATTTGATGAGCCGGTGGGGAAAAATAGCGGTGATATTGCCGGGGTGCCGGTGTTTGTGTGTCGACCAAACCATGGGAGTTTTGTCAAGCCGAAACAAGTTGAAGTTGGTGATTTCCCCGAATTGGACCCATTTGCTGCTGCTGGTGATGATGATGATTCAAATGAAGAGTTATAGAAAAGAGTTTACAAAAGTTTAATGAGCTATGTTTATTCAAGACGATTGCAATATAAGCTAGGATTTATTCAAAACTTTTTTACCAGACTTGTGGACCCTTTTACTGGACCTTAGGGTTCTTTTACTGGACCTTAGGGTTCTTTTTGTTTCCAGTGGCACGATATGTTTACGTACTATCGGTTTGTTATTTCCATTGAGCTTTCCAACATGACGTGCTCCACATCTTCCTTCACGGGCATGTTCAAAATGCATCAAAATCCAAGCCCCCACGTGGTTCACTCTCTTGGCCTGTAAATGAATGCGTGACAAGTCGAGCTTGACTTCCAAAATCTCGTGATCGTTGCTATCATTGGTTTTGATGGTATCGATTATATTTTCATCAGGTATGTCCATATTTGTTATTGTACCGGGTGTAATGAGGTAAGAAGCTGAAACGTGGGTCGCCAAGGCAGAATCAAACATTTGATTAAGGATTGCCAAACCAGGCGACGAGCTAAATTCTTCCTCAGGCAGCAATTCAAATCTCTTGAATTCAAAAAATGCTTATGTTCTCTGCAATGGCATCAGGCACCATAGCTGCCTTCATAATCACACGTTTTTCTTGTTCTTTGACTTGAGTATTTGTGAAAAAGGAAATAATTGGAAAAAGTGTATGACCTATGATCCGCGAGAATTCAGCCTCATTTTCAAAACTAAGGACCTCTTTGAGCTGGAACTCAGGAAGATTATTCGCCTCAATAGTTGAAAACTCATCTTTTGTTGTGGAAATTGGATTGGGACGACGCACGAAATATTTTAAATCGATTTCAAGCAACTTTTCTTTGTCAAAATCGAAATCTCTGACTGGCTCGGAAGATGAAACTGGGTGAATGGCGTTAAAAATCTTTTTTTTTTCTGGATTCAAGTCTGTCGGTTTGTATTCTTGGCACTTGTTTTCGTACACAACTCCAAAATAAAGTGACCACGATAATGTGGCAAGTCTTTCAACAAAATTGAGCTCTTTATTCGCCAACTTGCTCGTGAAATATCTATAAAGTGAGCGAATAATATAGTTGATGGCTTTGATTTGTTCCAAATTGGTGAATGGTTCATTTGTCGGCTCTTTAGCGAAATTTTCAAGTTTTGATCCATCAAAGATTACACTGACAACTCTATCACTCATTTCATCCCCTAGTATCTGCAAATGTTCGGGAAATGTTCCTCTGATAAGTGTATATGCGATGGTTCTAGAAACACGTTTTGGCAGGTACCTACTCTGCACATCTTTAAGTGTTAACCGACTACGAGTTCTTTTCCTGTTAAACTCTCGGTAGATAAGTGTTGATGTTCGAATAAATTCATCAATGCCTAAAGCCTTCCACAAAGCAGACATGTGGTCAGGGACTCTATTAATATCACTTGAGGGAGTTTGGGTTAGTCTGGCCATCACCACTTAGTTTGTAATGTTTTGCGACACCGAATGAAAGGCAAGTGAGAGGGTGGTGAACTGTTGACAAACAAAAATTTGGAAAGATACAAGAGCATATCAAATTTTGCAACCAGGTTTGGCGCGCAGAAAACTATACACAAAACGACACCCAAAATCTTCAAAGGGCTACAACAATTCAGTAACTTTGATTCAAAGATACTGGCTATATTATCGAGCAGCTTTGGGTAGAAGAGCAGTAATGGGTCTTTTCGTTGATGACTTGTATTGACTCTAAAGCTTGGATCCAATTTCAGCGAACCCAAATAAAACTTATTCAACTTCACGCATACCTTCCTGATTCCTACAAAGACCACTTGTGCACCAGTTTCATTACAGCCCTATTAGCTTTCTGGGCCTATACTTATAGTTGGTGCATTGAAACCGTCAACGATATTCCTAGTTGCAACTCTTTTGACAAAGTTGTTACGAAAGTAGATACGTGGTGGACAATTAAGTTTGATGAGGTTTTAAGTGAGCCCATTTTTTTTTTTTTTTGGATCGTGCCAAACAGAATTTTGGAAAGATAAAATGCAAGTAACAGCAAGGATATAATCAAGGAATCTACTGTATTCAACGCTTCCAGAAATTGAATTAGGCATCAATATGTTTCTACGAAAGACATACAAGGTTAAAATCGCGTAAAAAAATTCAACAGGGGCATTTGAAACAGCCTGTAAACTCTATCCACCTGTCTCCCATTCTTCCTCTCTTATTCAATTGCGGAAATACACGGTGTGAGAACCTGCGTCTCACTCACAAGTCTTTATTAAGATAGTAAAGTTGTGCACATATCGAAAACAGTATTTAAACTACTGAAAAAACGGAAAATGACTCAAATCTCATACACAATGAGGAAATCTCCGTCTGTTGTTCAGGTAAAAAGCCATGTAATCTGAGGACATTGCCATCATTGCACCGAGGGCAAACTCGTTATTATATCTTTTCAAAGTAATGACCCCTCTCTTTTTCCATCGACCATTCTTATGCCTAAGGACCCTGTATCGAAAATTACTTACCAACTTGAAAGAATATCCGGGTGGAGTTGCTGAATTGTAGTACCAATGGAATCCCACAGTTCTGGGCTCGATCGTTGAAGGACTGAAGTCTGATTGTTCTTCAATATCAAAACGTCTAGTGACCAATTGACCAGGTAAACGATGGATACTTTCCCACCAGTGTATACTAGCCCTTGGAAACTGCAGGCAAAGTGAGCAAACTCGAAGAGCCATTGTATTATCTGCTCTATTGGTTGACACAACAACTTTCCGTATGGAGCGATGTTTCACTGTACATATTTCTTGAGATGAATGATTTGTTTCCTCGTGATTGACTTTACGTATGCCAAGTATAACTAAATTCGGATACAAATCATCGATATGAATTTTCAGAAAGACCAGAGTAAAGTCAAACTCCCCAACAATGTACAATTCCTGCAAGTACAAGGTAGTAAAAATATACTCAAGCTTGCAACAAGATTCGAGTGGTTTGTCAAATTGTACATGCAATTTCTTCAATTTGAGTGGATATACATCGGTGATGCGCTCTGAATGCAAGCGGACATTCAACTCTGAAATATATGAAAAGTCATCAAATCGTTTGGACAACCCCAGGTTGTATTCCGGGAACACTTTTGGTGGTATATACAACCTCCATTTCTCCTTTCTGTTATCTCTAAAAGCCGAGATCGAGTTCAGGTAGTAACCGCCGATTCTCGATTCCCGATCTTCTCGGTCAAGCGCCTCATACTTGTCAGCTCGTCCCCACCTTTCAAGTTCTCTGGAACTCGTTATATTGAAATACTTGATATTCTTGAATCGTTTCTTGATCGCTGGTTCCATTGGTTCACGGTCCTGAAGGTCAAAGCTTATAATTGGCTGGTTTCCATCCATCCTGTCAATGTATTCCCTCAAAGTCTCTGTTGATATTATCGTATACTTATTGACCCTAGGATTATTCAAATACTTTGGGAAGCGATGACCAGAATCACCGTCATGCATATAACTAAAATCACTTTCGTAAAGGTATATATACTGGTATAATTTGACTTTAGTTATAGCTTGTAAACGAGAATGCAACGGCCCGAGTACCAATGCTTGGTGTTGATTGATTTCGCTGAAAACTGAAACTAACACGTGCTGTGGCAAGTCAAGAATGGTATTCATCACTATACTTACTGAAGAACTCCCTAAAAAAAAAAAAAAATAACAGGTTGTACATGACTTCATAAATATATAGTGTGGTGTGAAGGTCACTGAGGAAACAATTTGCAGTTTTTTGCAGCACAATAGTAAAATGGATTAGGAAGTCAGAGGCCACAGTCTATCAAAGTCTATTACTGCATCATTTGACGCATTCACCGAGTTGAAGGAGGGCCCTTGATTTGGGTAGGAGTATATGCACTTGCTTGAGGAAGAATACAGAATAGTAAATTACCTGGCGCTTCGTTGCGGTTACTAAAAAGTGAAATCCTTTCACCGATAGGGGGCATAAAAAAAAAAAAAGAGAAAAAAAGAAAAACTCGTGCAAGTATTAATGTTTATGCTCCCTCACTTCAGCACAACCTTTCACTCCCTTAAACCCAAACAATAACCACGCTTCTACCGAGTCAGAAGTAATGGCATTTGAAGAAATATACGAATATGTTGAGAAAGACACCTTCATCAAGTATTTCCGTTTAACTATATTCGTGTGTGCCTATCTCATATTTCGTAAATATTACTCGCAATGGGCAGCCAAAAAGCAAAGTGAACACCAGCAGAAATTGGACGAAAAAGAAAAGGCAGAGAAACCAGCAAGAGAGGCTGAAGCTCAGAGACAATTGGAAGAGAAATTGGAGAAGGAAGCGAACGAGTTTGGTTGGGGTAAAAAGACCAGAAAGAATGTGAAAACTACTCAAGCCGTTTTGGAGCAGTTGGCTGAGGAAACGAGACAACGACACCAAACTGCTTACGATGCTCAAGAAGACGCCGATATTGAGGATTTATTAGAGGATTAGTGTGTAGTGAATACAAATTCCTGTTTTCAATTTTTGTGAATGTGTGAGGTTTTCACACATCTCTCTGTCGATGCCATATCATCGCATTGAAAAATGTATAAAAAAAAAAAAAAAACTAAAAAAAAAAGTAGAAAAAGTAGAAAGGAGTGTAGGATCACCAGAACTGCCACTATTATCTTTTCAGTACACTATGGCTGGGGATCCCTTCCTATCTGATCCTTCAAAGAAGAGAAAACGCCTGAATAAGGTAACAAGTACAACGCGGGCCAAGAAGTCTCAGTCATCCACTCCACAACCATCATCCACAACTTCACATATAGATGAGGAGATTTCGAGTGCCAGTGATACTGATAACGAGCGGTATGCGGAAGATCAACGACAAGAGGACGAATTATCATCAGATGAGGAGTTCGCCGCTGAAAGTGCCGCAGACAAGCGAAGGAGACTAGCTAAGCAATATCTTGAAAACTTGAAAAATGAAGAACTACGCGATGCTGACGATTTCGATGCCCAAGATCTTGACGATGAGATTCTATCAAAGAGGTTGCAAGTGGATGTAGCCGATGCTAAAGGGCATGTGTATAAATTCTGGGGTGAGAAACTTTCCCAACAATTGGATGGAAAAGAGCTCGAATTGACAACAACACGTATAGGGTCCAATAATGTCACTAGCATGTGCATACACTATCCCTACCTATATACTGTTTCCAAGGATATCGAAATCATTAAATGGAACATAAGCCTGAACAAAAAGCCGCAAAGGATAAAGCATACCAAAGGTGGATCCAAATACTTTACGCTAAACACAGATCATGTTGGGTTAAATCATCATTGGGAGCAGATTAATTGCATTGCCGCATCTCCTGATGGGAAGTATATCGTTACCGGTGGCTCTGATTCTCGATTGATTATATGGTCAAGTGAGAATTTGGCATGCTTGAAGGTGCTTCCCACCAGATCGGCAGTCAACTCAATTGTATTCAGAAGAAACACTGATCAATTGTTTGCTGCATGTGCTGATTTGAGAGTAAGGACATACTCCATAAATCAATTTACCCAATTGGAAACGTTGTATGGTCACCAGGATACCATCTCTGACATTGCCGCTTTAGCTAGAGAAACTTGTGTCTCAGTAGGAAGCAGAGATAAAACAGCCATGTTTTGGAAAATTGCTGAAGAATCAAGATTGACGTTTCGTGGTGGTGACTCACTTGAAAAGAGAAAGAAGAAAAAAGGTAGTGATGAAGAGACTGAAAGCAATGAACCATTTCACAATGAAGGATCGATTGACGTGGTTTCCATGATTGACGAGTCCCATTTTGTAACTGGATCTGACAATGGAAACATTGCTCTTTGGTCATTAGCCAAGAAAAAGGCCCAGAATACTAAGAGATTGGCACATGGTTTGCAGCCACAATTTCAACCAAAACAAGCAAGTGCTGAGACAGAAATCGATTTAGCGAGTAGGCAAATTCCAGTTCCTCAACCGTATTGGATTACTGCTGTACATGCTCCGGCTTATAGCGACGTGTTTTTCAGTGGCTCATTTGGCGGTAGTGTCAAAATTTGGAAATTGGATGCTACTTTGAGGTCGTTTAGTTTGATTGGCGAGGTGGAAAATCTTCGGGGCGTCGTTGTGAAAATAGATAGTGTCGAGATTCCAGATACCAAGCAATTGAGAGTGTTTATTTTATTAAGCAAAGAGCACAAATTTGGAAGGTGGTTGAACAAAGTGTCGGGTGGAAGAAATGCATTAGTTAGTTTTTCATTTAGTATATAACTTTTTTTTTTAACTAGCTTTGTATGTAAACCTTAGATGAATGAAACGAGCGAGTAGTCTTGCTTTGTTATTTTTCTAAAATGCCGCTTCATCGTCTCCCGCATCGTCCATTCCATCATCATCTCCGTCGTCAAAGTATTTTTCAGCATTATAATCGTCATCTTCGTCCTCGTCATCGAAATCATCATCCATATCTTCTTCTTCACTGGGTACGTCTTCTTTTTCTCCGCTGCCTTCTTTATCTTCATCTTGTACACCAACTTGGTTGAACATTTGCTCTTTCAAAGCCTGTACTTTTGCTTGCTCATCGGCACTTTCCTGCTTCTCTTCACTCAAATAATCTCGCAATCCTCCATTTGATGCAAATTTTGATAGCGTCAAAAACTTCTTTTTGTTCTTGTTGGAGACTCCCATCACCGAATATAACTCCTGCGGGAAAAACTGTATCTGATATGGATGTTCTTCAATTGTACGACCAATTTTTTGCACTTTTTTATACCTGTCTCCATATCGCTCAATGCCGTCTTCATTTACATTCGCCACTTTGTTGTTTTTCAGCAGCTCTCGGTCTTTGTTCTTTAGAAGTTTGGGTCCTAGCTTCCCAGTGTAGAATGGTCCATCAGAAACTAATTTGGTGAAACGTATAGATTGTTTGGCTGCTGACGTCTCAATTTCAGATGGTTCTCCGTTAACCGGTAGCACATATTGTGGTTTTCCTGCATCTTCTGATGATTTTACTACATCGGCATAATCTAATCCGAATGGTAATAGTACTTTCCCAGTACCTCCTCCACCTCGAAACGACATGACAGTTGTAGACGGGGTATTTGTGTGTGTGTGTGTGTGTTGAGTTGAGTAATGAAAGTAGGTCTGTGATTTTGTGTGTCCTTGAAAAAAAAAAAAAAATTGCAGAGCAGATGTGAAGAGACGCTACCGGGTGAGATTCCCCAAGGACTCGATACTTCTACTGCAAAAAAGAGGTCCTTTTTGAATACCCCCAGTTGCTAGAAGGTTGATTTTCAGAGAATTCCTCAACATGATAGTTACACGAGGTTTGAAATGAGTATGGGGGACCACTGTACATTCGATATTTTTTGCAAAGAAATAATGCATAAAAGAAAGTCTTTTGTAAAAACCCCCAAATATGTCAATCTTGTTTGACCTGTTTTGTTCGAAGACATAGTATAAATGCTCCATCTGCAGTTAGAATAAGGACTTCCTTCTCCCACTTAATATCTTCTAATGAATATCCATGTGTCTTGAATAAAAAGTGTCTGAATTTTGATTTTTACGACACTGATTCCGGATTGGGCAAAAACCAAAACACAGCCAGCCAACTTTTGAAATTTGTGATCCCACAAGGCGATGCTACTATTCAAGAAAAGATGATGCGGATGCACAAGAACGTGATTGACAACGATCGAGTGAATGATTTGTTAGTAGGATATTTTTGAAAGAATTAAAACACTAACCCTACACCCCCTTTTTTTTTTTAAGCACATGACCTCAACACTTGCTTCCAGCATGCCTAGCGTATACGATTTTGATGATGAGGCGGACATGCCGAATACGACAACGGACTCTACATCTTACACACAATCCGCAAACGGAACACTAGTGATAATGGTGGTTCGAGCAAAACATCTCCCCAATCGAAGAAAATTAGATAAGCAGTCTCCTTATGTTGTAGTAAGGTTGGGTACGGATGCAAAGAAGACAAAATCCGACTTCCGAGCTGGCCAAACTCCAGAGTGGACTCATGAGATCAGATTCGATATTAGTAAGGAGAAGAAGCCCCTCCTCAAGGTTGATCTCTTGGACGAAACAAAAGGTGATCCGACCCCCATAGGAAACTGTGAGATCGATGCATCGCTAGTCTTTTCCGATCTTGGAAATAGACGTGAAGGGAAGTATATACTAGATAAGTGGTATGACTTGACATTCCAGGGCAAAAGAGCAGGAATGCTATATTTGGAAATGACTTTCTATCCTAGTGCCCCAATACTACCACCAAAGATCCCATGCCACGAAGAAGAAGAACAACAACATCTTGTGGGTGCTCATGGAAGACCGTACGGCAGTACCGTATCCCCAGTTCAATCACCGCCACCACAAACTCGTCACTATGGGTCAAATCCTGTTCATGACGTTTTCGTTTCTCTGGATAGCTCGAAGCATAGTAAACGATCGTCGATATTCCTGAAAACGAGCCACTATTTCCTCAACACGGGTGAAGGAAGTGCTTCCAGTCACGAAAGTCCAGATGAAGTCGTGATACTGCCTCCAAAAGTGGGAACTAAGAGTCCGAATAAATATAAATCAAAGTTCAACAAACTTAAGGACAAGTTTCAATCGAAGCAGGCATTCTGGGGAGATTCAGACAGTGGAAATAATGCAAAATCATTCTTGTCGAGCCCATCGAGGCGAGACATATCCCCCATTAGTGTTTACGGGTCTGATCACGTACGCGAGCTAGAAGAAGATCTGATAAGGAGCCCCATTAATCAAAATCAGAAACTAGACGATTTCGATCTTGACCTCGAGTTCAAATCGCACTCACCACAACCACCACCACCACCACCACCACAATACCACCACCACCAAGCCCATTCCAAGCCGCTCCCCGCACCCCCTGGTAGGAAACCCCCGTCGCCAACCATCACTTTACAATTAAAAGACAGCACTGCAATCCCATTTTCCGCAGAATCAATAGGTCTTGACGACCATGCCGACAGCTTACCCACCAAGGTCTATCTACTAGATGAGCCGGTTAAATCGCTAACATGTGACGCCAAACATACCAGCAACGACGATTTTCGACATAAAGATGATATAGATCCAAGATTTTATGCACCCACCCCTAGTGAACATTTCAATAGACGAATGAGATTCTCGAATGACGCAGTGACTAGACAAGACCTCAAAGTTGATTTGAGAACAGACAGAACTGGCTACGTGGGAAATGGGAAATTCAGCCCTAGCGTGTTCCAAAAAGCCAGTGTTAAGAAATCATTCAATGTGTACGATGATACTGACGATGACGATGAAGATGAGGCAAAACCCGCGGTTCCCCCAAAGATTCCACTGGGGTTGGATGAAATGGAGTATTATATTCTAGAAAAGGAAAAGTACCTTCGTGACCTTCAAGCCAAAAGAGCATGATGTTATGCAATGTGTTTAGCATTACTGTAGCAGTTTCAAACATAGTGAAAAGATACAATACATTTAGAAAATAATACAAACGATACAGAATCGGATATGACAACTAAATATAACAAACAAACGAGTAGAGTTATAAAAGTGCGGCAATCAAGGCACATGCACCGGCGACAGCACCAGTATACTGTCCATCGAGTAATCTCATCCCAGAATCTTCAGAGCTCTCCTCGGCGGGAATAGTGATAGCATTAGACGAGCTTGATCCAAGAGAAGCGCTAACATCAAGTACCAACTCCCCTTTGGCAGAAGAAGTTTCCTTGGATTTTGGCTTGACCGTGACAGTAACGTAGTGGATAGTCAAATTGTTAGTAGCATTATATCCCTTACTATCGAGAGCAGCGGTTTCTTGTGCAAGCAAAGCCAATGAAGCTGAGGCCAAGGAGCTATAGTAGCTCTCAGCAAGCAGTTGTGCTACAGCAATATTAGCTGCGGACTCGACTGACAGCACAGAAGCTATCGAGGCAGCTTTTGCAGCCTCGGCCGCCATACTCAAAGACTCCTCGGGGGTGTATAAGGTCTTGGTGATGGTAATGGTATTGGTGATTGTGGTGTCAGTTTCGGCATTGATTTGGCCGGCTGAGCCTAAACCTAAAAGCAAAGTAGTAGTTGACAATTTCATGGTGTAGATATGTATCACTAGCGTTAAGACTTTGTTGTAAAATGAAGGACTAGGGTTGGAAAAGAGTGTTAATTAAAAGGAAAACGGATAAATGAATGTAATGAGTATGCACTCTACTTGGAATGTTAGCCTATGATAAAACGATTTGTGGGTGATGAAAACACTATTAGTGGGTAGATTTTTTTGATGGAGCTGTACGCTCGAGGGAAAGTTGTTAGATTTATAAGCGTATCCAAAGACAATTCGAATCGCAAGTTGAATAATAATCACGAACACATTGGAGTAAATGTCTTCATTGCAAGCAATACAAGTAATGCAAGCAACGAAATTTCCGGCTTGGGAAGTGGAATATTATTTTAAACTTTCTGGCTACACCCACTACGCACCAGAATCCATCTCTCGGTTGAGGTTTGGTAAACAAACAAAAAAAAAAAAATCGGATTATTTTCTTGGAAGCTAGCAGTCCGCCAAACGGAGTGCGATGCATCATTGTGCATGTACCCCATCAGTAGCAATGTGTGTGTGTGTGTGTGTGTGTGTGTGTGTGTGTGTGCGTGTATGCGTGTGTGTGTGTGTGTGTGTGCGTGTATGCGTGTATGCGTGTGTGCGTGTGTGTGTGTATGTGTGTGCCTTTGCGTGTTCGTGCGTCTGTGTAAATGTGAGTGAGAAGTGTTAGAATCATGACCACAATTTGTTATGATTTTTTAGTTTGAATGTTGGGTGTTAAAGACCTATATGACTTACGAAGCACCTCATACAACTTCTGAGTCAAGTTTGAAACCGCTGTCTTGCATCGAAATATAAATAAGCTTCTCTCGTGTCTTTTTTTTTTAATTTTTTTTTACCGCTGGGCACCACGGTTTGTCTCTCCTATTTAACTTTTGCAACCTTATTTTTTCTTGAGTTTTATTGTTTTGTGTTACTGCACTTGTTAACCAGGAAAACAATTGCAAACGGGCTCGTTGGAGGATAACAACTTTTTAGTCTCAACTATTTATATAGTCTATACTGTACATATCTGACTATTATCCTTGCGAGTAGATACAAACCAACAACAGAATGTAAAGCCACTAGAGATCCTCCAGTTTACTCAGGTGCACTGGACCGTCATCCGTTCCTTCCTTGTTCAACTGTTCGATTTCTGCTTGTTCATGTTCAAACAAAGTGACACCTTGCTCCACATGACTTGAATCATCAATCATTTCAATATCATTATTGTCAATTTTGTCTTGCTCAAACACGTTCCGTTCCCCTTTATCCTTTTCCTCATCATTGTAGAACTCCAGGTCCTTTTCGACTTCTTTGTCCCTCTGCATTTGGGAGCCCCCCTTGGTATCAATTGCATCAGACATATCTTCATCCACGTCACCCAAATCCTCTTTGTCTGGCGGAACATCCTGAAGTTGCACTGATGGCGCGTGTTTAGTATGATCCAAGTTGGAAATGATTTGCGTTAGCAATTTATCCAAATACTCTTTTGAGTTGTAGTTGTTCATATTTGAAGAGCGCACATCGAGTTCGTATGTTGGTGCATAATACTCATAAAACCCATTGTATGGTAGTTCCTTGGGTAATATGACCCCATTACATACTCCCGTTTCAAATGCCCAGGTCCGGGCAACATTTCGAATAGTGTATCCACCACCTCCTAAAACCATCATTGGTAAGCCAAGTGATCTAACAAAGTTGACACAGTTTGCATGGCCCTTCATTGACAAATTGAATGGGCCCAATCGATCACCACTCAAAGAATCACCACCGCATTGTAGCACAATGGCCGAGGGCTGGTACCAATCAACAATCGCTTGTATCACAGGCTCAAAAATCGACTTGTATGATGCATCATCGATTCCGTCTCGCAAAGGTACATTCACAGAGTGATACTTACCTTTACCGATCCCTATATCTGTCAAATTACCCGTCCCGGGAAAAAACTCCCCGAATTTATGAAACGAGCAAGTCATGACTCGATCATTGGTGTAAAACGCTTCTTCAACCCCATCACCATGATGCACGTCTGTATCAATGTACAATACCCGCGGATGTTTCCGGAGCAATTCTATAATGGCCAAAACAATATCATTGGTATAGCAAAACCCACTAGCCTCCGACTTTTTAGCGTGATGAAGTCCGCCGGCATAGTTGATTACAATATCGGCACTACCATTATTCAATCGGGCTGCTCCCTCCATTGACCCTCCACATGAGATTTTGCAAAATTCACTCAATCCATCAAATACAGGACAGTCTTCTCCAACATTGAAGATCTGGGCTTCTCGTGGAAACAAATGTAAGTTATCTGGCGTGACACGGTCGATGAAGTCAATGTACTCGTCGGTGTGGAATTGTGTCAATTCGAGATTGGTTGCCGGTTGGGCTCGGTAAATTTCCATTTTTTTGTACAATTCGTAGTTCATGATGAGGGAATGGGTCATTCTGATTCTGTGAGGTTTCATGCAATGTCCTGTTCCGTAGAAGTAGTTTCCAACATCCTGGTCGTAGAAATAAGCAATCCGCTTCTTTTCTGGCAGAACTTTTAATTCATCAAACGGTAGTTCAACGTACATTATGTGGGGAGTCCTTTGCGAGAGAGTGGAGAGTGGTACTTTGATAGGGACAAGAAGGATGCGCTTGCAATTGAAATACGGCGCTGCTTCAATATCGTGAAAAGAAAGGAGTTTTCTTAAATTTGTCCCTCTTTCTTTTTTTTTTAAAAAAAAGAAAAAGAAAACTCTCTGATATCACAAAATTCTTGTGCTTAGTCAGTAAAGAATACTCGAAAAGTCTATAAAATTCTACTGATCTATTTATTTCTGCCATGTACCCTCCACCTATTGACTCTTTTTGCCAATTCTTCCACACTCGTCCAATCTATATATCCCCAGCAAATACGCCAATCTTGTCACCACTAAATCGATGGCCATTTCGATTGAATCTCTCGCCAAGTCAATCTTTGATCCGTCAATTTCTTGCCAGTTTACCGCAATCTCCTTCATTGCCATTCCTTGCATTTGCCCTAAAAGCAACACCTCCACGTCAAATATCCATCTCTCTGTATGCATATGGGGGAAGATTCGTTGCACTGAGTCAATGTTGAACATTTTGAATCCACATTGAGTATCGTGAATCCTTCGGATACCAAAAACAAACACCAATGTGTGAAGTCCATACATCAAAAAGTTTCGTATAAGCGACCTTTTCACCACCGCATCGGTATTGACCATGTGTGCCCGTGAGCCAATGGCTATTGCCGGTTCCTTTGGGTGTGAGTCAAGGTATTCAATCAATCCCACCACGTCTGAGAATCGAGTAGCACCGTCTGCATCCGCAAACAAAGCATATTTACCCTGAGTATGCAAAAGACCATGGGTGACGGCGCCACCTTTACCTCTATTTTTTGACAATTGGACAACCTTCAATGTGTGAGGTTCTAGGCTGTATTTGTTTGCCAATTTGATTGCGTATTCGGCAGTTCCGTCACTAGATCCATCGTCAACGATGATAATCTCGTAATTTTTGGGGTAATGCTGTTTGAGGAACTCCGTGGCCTCACTCATCATCTTGTCTAATCTTTTGGTTTCATTGTAACACGGTATCACAACACTTATTTCTACTTTAGGAACTCTTTTGGGGCTCGTTGAGCAAATTCTAGGTGGTAGGTCGTAACTTGCATTTGTTGCGTCATTGGTTTTGTAAAACGATTCATTGGATGTCGGTGGTCTTGGTTTATGAGAAAGTAATATTAATGTCGCGTACAATATAGCCAATAGCACACCTATCGTGGCAGCTATATATATCATGTACATTGCAAAAACAGCTAGTGACTTGACTTGATGCAAACGCTGAAACAGAATCAAGAAAACAGAAATTGACACGTGGTGAGTTCTTGTCTGGTTTTGACAGGTTGTATGATTGAAACAATGTTGAAAAATGTTGACAAAAAAAAAAATAAAAGAGAAAATGATTTAATTTACGCGAGTGTAAAACACAGGCAAGTTGAACAAGTTGGCAAGCACATCAAACAAGAAGTCATTGAAACTTAGATTACTAGAGCCTTCACAAAATACACTCCACTACAAAACATACACCATATATACACACTCCACTCCCCTCAGAATATCTAAGCCCTACAATGCCAACTTCGTTACCCTGTTATTGATGATTCTTGCATTATTCAAAAAAATCTCCACAACTTCTTCCAACCTGAAAGAATCAGTACCTTGTCTAACCTTATCAATAGATTGGAATATCTCCAACGTATCAGCTTCCATCTCGACTTCATATTTTGTCTCATGATTCACCACTTTCTTACCTGACTTGTTCTTGTACTCACGGGGAACCATTACTCGCGTAAGATCAAACTGGGTGATTGTTGGTGTATGAGTAAATGAAACGCGCTTCTTTTCACGTTGCATTTGTGGACTGCTCTTTGACATGATAGATTCAACGTTACCCTCGGGTACTGGAACTTCCAACGAAAGCGAAAGACGTAAATCATACATTGCCTGCGGGCTGTGGATGTACAAGTCAGCAATTCGTTCCTTTTGGATGGCAGTGTATCTGGGTGGGTCGAGTAGATTGTCCTTTGATATTCTCACCTTGCGCAAATGTTCATGTTTACCACCTAGCTGATAAAATGAATCGGTTTGATCAGATTCGAGCATTTTGAATTTCCGCTTGTCTCGAATGCTATGGTCAGTCTTTTTATCCTCTTGGAATTTTCTCTCTAACTCGTCAAACATTTTACGTATATCGTTCCATGCAATCTCTTCAACCTCCATATCAAATCTTATATCCGAATCGTTGGTGTATATGCACTCGGTTATAACATTCAAATTAATCCTATTCCCTGTTCGTTTGTCAATGATTTTTCCAAATTTCAACTCTAATTCAACAAATGCTCTGTTGGAATCTTCGATATTGGCAAAGTTGGCAAATATCCATTCCGATATTGTACGCGTAATCGATGATGGTGGAATCACACCGGTTATACTACATTGTAGATCAACGTAATTTGTTACGGTTCTGTCAAAGACTGGCTTCAGTGAAATTCTCGTTACCTCTTCCACATGGCCACGGTCATTGAGTGAACCACCGTCGTAAACATCACCAGCACCACGTTCGTTAGGAGGAACCCACCTTTGCGCCCAGATTGGAGGTGTGTTGTATCTGCGAGGTTTATTTGATTGCTTGATCTTTTTGATCTTGGTCAAGTCATCTTCATCTGGAATAACCGTGGGTGTGGTACTTGATTTCCTTTCACTATGACGCGGCGTAGAGTTTGCCTCTTCACGTTTGTTTGTGGGCGGGGGATGATCTTCAGGATTGGTCAAGTTGGCAATACTATTTCGTTTTGAGGTATTTGGACTTGTTCGCGAGCTCGAGAACCCACTATTGCTGCCCGCCTGAGTTGGAGGTGGTCTTTGGGCCAAAACTGGAGAGCTCAAGGCACTTGAGGAAAACGGTTTTCGAAACTCACTTAAGGGTGGAGGACCTTGTTGATGTTCTTGAGGCAGCGGCACGTGTGCTTCCGTATTGGCCCTTGGTGGTTCCTCCTCTTGCGTCGTGTCGTTCAACATATTTGTGATGGAATGTCTTTCATGGACCGATTGTATGGAAGAGCGACTAGACTGTGGTTGACGAGGAGGGCCTTGCTGTTGCTGCTGCTGCTGCTGCGCTTGAGGAACCGATGACCGCAGTACATTGGAAGTGGAGGGAGATTGTGCTGGTTGAGAAGTCGACTTTGAGTCACCTTGAGGAGGATCATTGTTTAATATTGAGCCGACATTCATGTTGTAGGTCTTTTGAGCAATTGAAAACTGTATCCAATACTATAGGAATACTTCTGTTGAATTGAAATACTTTCAAAACCGATGGTTTCTTCTTGTTTTCATTTTATTTTTTATTTTTTTTTTTCTTTTTGGTTTGTCGTTTATTTCTCGCTACCAAAGAGAATACAAACAGATGGGGTTCGCTAGCACTTTTACTTTATCTAACTAACTAACCATATACAGCTTTTCTATCCACAGTTGAATACCATTAGATCTTTGAACGTCCCAAGTTTTTGTTTAATCTGTCTGCTACAGCAGAGATGAACTCCTCAGTAGTGACGTAGCTCGATCTGTCGGTTTTTCCTTGAGCCAACGCCAAATCCTTGGTCATTTTGTGATCTTTAGAAACGGTGTCAATGACAGCCTTTTCCAAGTTTTGGGCAAACTCGACAACTTCCGGGGTGTCATCCAATTTACCTCTTTGAATCAATCCTCTGGTCCATGCGTAGATTGATGCAATGGAGTTTGTGGAAGTTTCCTTGCCTTGTTGGTGTTGTCTATAATGTCTCGTGACTGTACCATGGGCAGCCTCGGCTTCAAAAGCCTTTCCATCTGGGGTGGTTAAAACCGAAGTCATCAAACCCAAAGAACCAAATCCTTGAGCGACAATGTCGGATTGGACATCACCATCGTAGTTTTTCATGGCAATAATGTAACCACCTTTCGATTTCAACATTTGTGCCACCATATCATCAATCAATCTATGTTCATACCAGATTCCCAATTTGTCCATTTCCGGTTTGAATTTGGTAGCATACAAGTTTTCAAATATATCCTTGAATCTTCCATCGTATTTCTTCAAGATGGTGTTTTTAGTGGATGAAAACAAGTTCATTTTACGTTCAATTGCCAATCTGAAGGAACTGAGGGCAAAGTCAGTAATGGACTCGTCAGTGTTGTACATAGCCAATCCAACACCTGGTCCTTTGAAATCGTAAACCGGGTATTCAACTGGCTCACCGCCATCCTTTGGAGAAAACACCAATTTCAATTCTCCTGCTTGAGGTACAATTATATCGGTAGCTTTGTATTGATCACCAAAAGCGTGTCTTCCGATGATAATTGGTTTTTCCCATGAAGGGACGATTCTGGGAATGTTGTCAATGACAATTGGTTCTCTAAACACCGTACCACCAAGAATGTTTCTCAAGGTACCGTTTGGAGAGAGCCACATTTTCTTCAACTTGAATTCCTCAACTCTTTGTTCATCTGGGGTGATGGTGGCGCATTTAACACCAACCCCATACTTTAAAATAGCTTCAGCAGCATCAGTAGTGACCTTGTCATCTGTCTGATCTCTATATTCAATACCCAAGTCGTAATATTTCAAATCAATGTCCAAGTATGGGAGAATCAATTTGTCCTTGATGAATTGCCAAATGATTCTGGTCATTTCGTCACCATCCATTTCAACTATGGGGTTTTTGACTTTGATTTTTTGTGATTCTGGCATGATTAACTGTAATGTCTATGTGGTGGAGGAGAAGGAGGAGGAGGAGGTGTGTGTGTGGAATAAATATATTGTTATAGCGGGGAACTCCGAAGGGATTTTAATAAGATGTAATTTTCTTTAACTTTCAAAACTGGATACGATGCAAAATTGGAAAGATATGTTACCAAAATTGCAGATTGTGTTATGTGTTTAGTAGATTGCACTGGTTCCAATGGAAATGAGTTAATGGGGAAGAGAGGAAGTTTTAAAAATCAGGAAAATATTCAATACAGCAAACGCAAAGGGAATTTGACTTTAATTTATACATTTTGTCAAAAAATATATACCATTTTTAAAACATTTAAAATTACAAATTGCAAAAAAACAGAAAAAAACAGAAAAAAACAGAAAACAAAATAAAACAAAAAATAAAAGAAAAAAAGCAAAGTATTTCCGTTTAAAACAGTATTGGCATTTAATAGTATTAACAATAATAGTTACATTAATAATAATTAGTAGGAGGAACTTGTGTATGGGAGGAGTTATATTTATTTATTTATTTATTTATGTATGTATGGCGCGATTTCTTTACCCGCAAAGACAAAAGACAAAAGACAAAAGACAAAGAGAATAAAAAAAAAAGGTTAAAAAAATTGACTCCGAAAAGTTTATACCCACTCGAAGTTGAGTACGTTGATGGAAGCAGACATCAGAAAACTAGATGGTGTAGAGTCATAGATCTTAGGAGAATTGTACCAGTATGTTTGCAGGTACAAACATCGACAGCTGTACAACAAACTACCTGCTCTTTCTTCTCAATCGGTAAATGGTATCCCCAAAGAAAAGAAGATATTTAGCCGATGGTTATGGAAAAAAAAAAAAAAAAAGGAACACAATCGAAAAGAGAAAAAAAAAGAAAAGCAAAAAAATTTTTTTTTTTTCTCTTTTTAAATGGAAAATGGAAAAAGGCGGGGAAGAAGCTGGAGAACGCGTGAAAGTATCGAAAGCAGGACTTTTACGGGAAAGATTCAGAAACCAAACACAGTCCTCGAAGTTCTTATGTGTGCTTACAAGTGGTTCTCATTTTCGTTGTCTATGCCGGTACAACCTATTGATATGTAACTTTTGCCAAACATGCATCAACGCCTAATAACGGATTGTAAATCCGAAAAAGAGAAGGCGAGGTTGCCACTTTCTCCGACCAACAATGGATATTACCGGCTTTGTTACTACTCTGCATACAATTTAAACTCTCTTACTCTCAATTTGGGGACCAGATATTTCATCCACAGATTTTCCAAATTGTGGCTGTTGATGCTTGATCGTTCTGGTTGTTTCCATTCCACTGAAAATTAGGTAGACACTCTTTTGTTGTACGGTATCGCATCTCGACAGTTTCTTCTTACAATTCATTATCGTAGGAATTGTAACACCTTTCTATCCAACCACAACACGTCAAAGTATCCGAGTAGGTGGAGCCACATAATTAGCTTTTTGTTATCTCCGTTGAATATTACTCAATCTGTCCAAACCTTTTTCCGTTATATATTTTATCTCGGGAGTGGAGACAATATAGAAGTGGGGGTTTTGTCCCCCTTTGCACTCCGAGAAAATCCATCCATACTCCGAGTTTCTCCCGGGTGACACAAAACGTGCAGATCTGGATCAAATTAATAAAAGAGTAATTTACATTTTCCAAGGGCTATAGTTGGTCTGTGTGCTCTATTTGATTAGTAAGATGATAAAACGATAAAGGTCCTCCTCATGATTAATAGATTCCTTATCATTAGTGCTCGGTAAGCAGAAACATGCACTTTTGCTTTTGCCCTTACAAAATGGGCTCTTCTGCAATAGATATCTGCGATTCATCCCGTACTTGGAAGTATGCTCTTATCAGATCCATGCAAGTTGAATTTGCGGCTTCCAACTATTGCTCCACCATCATCCACATTCCGTTTTCCGCGGTTTACAGGTGTTTTCAGAAGTGCATTATTGTCCACTAGCCCCTAACATAATGCTAGATTGTGTGTACCCCTAATGTCCAAACCTCTTGAATCTTGACTCCAAGAATCTACTGGAAATTTACTGCAGTCTGGGGTGTCATCATCACCACTTTTGCAACCACTCTTACTCTTTACATTAAAAACAACATCTACAACCCCCAGGCACTGATCCTTAAAGCTCACAACGAATTTTGTTGCACTACTTTTAATTTAATTTACAATGGAGTTATTGTTCCGTAATGTTCTCTCAGCAGATTACGCATATTTCATATTAGGACAGGTTTGGATCGCAGGGTAGGTACTAAGTGGTGCCACTTCAAAGCAAAACTGGCCATCTTTTACTACTGCAGATAAAAATCAATATAAACCACTCGTGTTTCACCAATAAAAAATTTAAATTCTAAAAAAGTGGCCATGTACAAGGACAATTGCTCATAGGGCTATCCTTTTAATGTCGTTCGAGTAAAGGGTTGCATGTTAAGAGATAAATACATCGTTCTTGCATTGATCTAATAGCTTACACTTTGTGTTAGTCAGCACCATCCCGATCCCCACCCACACTCCTGATCGTATTATGACGTATTTCGCGTCGGTCGGTCATTGTTTACCATTTCTTCCACTTTTTTTTCGTATTCTATTTTTGGTCTCCAAATTGTGTAATCCCATATAACATCATCAAACAAGTAGTTTGTTCAATCTTCTTGAACAATCAACAAAGATTATAGCCTTTCTTCCAACAGGCTTGGTTTTGGACAGGAATACATACTTGTTAATAACATGTCACTGAGCCAAGATGGGCAGGGGGAGATCGAGATTCTGAATCAAGGCAAGGAGGAAACCACAGGCAACGATGTACCAATGCCTCAAAGTACACTTCATGTTACATATCCCGACAGCCAAAACCCTTCACCTATCAAACCTACTCATAGCTCAAGAAGAACCCACAAAGTCAAGCCCAGTTTAAAATCTGCACGCTCATTTGATTATCCAACGTTGTCAGTCAAATGTCCTCCCAATTCGCTAAGACCAGTGAGCACCACTGTCCCCTCAACTCCATTGATTCCCAAACATGTACGTCTGCCCAAAAAGAAGCCCTCATTGAACAAATTGAATATCCGTTCACAAGTTTTCAAAAGAAACGCAGCAAATTTCTTACATAGTCCAAGTTTCGGTCAAGGGACAACTGATACTGACCTTGGCGATGATGATGATGATGATGATAATAATAATAATAATGTAGACCTAGCGTCATCTTCCAAAGCTAGCGACTCCAACGTTTCAAGCTGTCATGAGAGTTTACTAGATCCTATTCTGTCATTGAGAAACTACTACAATGACTTTACCACAATTGACTGGACGAAGGCATATCTCAAAGCCAATCAATTCAAATTTTCCGTGGAAAAAGGAGAATGGATAGGATATGGCAAAACAAATGATTTGGATGACTATACTAATACTAAAAAGATTCCATTATTCCAGAAACAATACTTTACAGTTGGTAAGTGGATATTGATCATCATTATTGGGCTATTTTTCTCACTAATCGCATTCATGATAGACAAAGTTGAAATAGTCCTAGTAGGAGTCAAGTATGGCTATTGCAAAACCAATTGGTTTGCAAGTCAAGTCTCTTGCTGTGCTGACGAAACACAAAACAAAGCAAAAGTGGCGAGTCTCAATAAAATGACTGGCGAGCCACAGTGTTCCAATTGGATCAGCTGGTCCCAGATGTTTCACAGCTTGTACTTTGGTGGTATCATTCGGTTAGATTTTGTTGTCTATGTTGCACTAACAGTGGTTTTAGCTATTGCTGCATGTTTGATCACATTAACAACAAGAATAATCACGGGGATAGAAAAAGAGACGCCAGCTGACGAGTCTCACCAAAAGTCACAATTCAAAGTACCTCAACCCCATACCAAGCCGCGGATTATTTACACAGGCATGAGCTCAGGAGTACCAGAAGTGAAAATCATCCTCTCGGGATTCGTCATACGTCGTTTTCTTGGGGTTTACACACTAATCACAAAGTCAGTGGCATTGGTATTGGCTATTGCCTCAGGTATGTCATTGGGGAAAGAAGGCCCCTATGTCCATTTAGCAACCTGTGTGGGAAATATCACATCACGTTACTTCCCGTTCATATACACTAACGATTTCTTTGAGAAGCAAATATTATCAGCGAGTGCTTCTGCTGGGGTGGCGCTAGCTTTTGGGTCACCACTAGGAGGCGTTTTGTTTATATTGGAGGAAATCAACAATCACCTACCAAATCATCAATTATTTCAAGTCTTTTTTTGTGCCATTATATCGACATTGTTTTTAAAAGTGTTGGATCCATATGGTACAGGCAAAACGGTATTGTTTGAGCTTGAGTATTACTCCGACTGGAAACCCATTGAATTGCTCTCCTTCATTGTGTTGGGAGTTGCAGGTGGGGTGTTTGGTGCTAGTTTTGTCAAGTTTATCAATTGGTGGCCCAAAGTGTTTCGCAAACATCGAATAATAAAGCAAAATCCGACTTTTGAGGTGGGGATCATTGCGCTTGTGACTGGACTCGTTACGTTTTGGAACCCTTATACCAAACAGGCATCGGCGGAATTGGTTTTGGATCTTGCAACACCATGCACGGGTCGTGAGTTAGACCGTTCGCTATGTCCAACTACAAATGAAGAATTCATGCATGAGCTATGGTCATTGTCTTTTGCATTGGTGGTCAAGATTGCGTTAACTTTTGTCACGTTTGGGTTAAAAGTGCCTTGTGGAATATACGTGCCGTCAATGGTTGTTGGGGCCTTGTTTGGCCGCATTTTCGCAATGTCCATTCAGTGGGTTACATTTTGGGACAGTGCAGGCGATGGGATTGTACGCCAAGGAGCAATAGATTTTGGTATTTATGCAATGATATCTGCTGGAGCCTTCATGGCCGGAGTCACACGAATGAACATTACAATCGTTGTCATTATGTTTGAGTTGACTCTGTCGTACACGTACGTTTTACCCATAGCCATAGCCATATCGGTGGCTAATTGGTCGGGAGGAATATTGGAAAAGAATTCACTATATGAGTCGGTATTGATAAACAATGATTACCCTTTCATGGCACTGGATGCCGAACCAATCGATCCAAGGACTAAGGTGATTGACATAGTAGATGATAGCCTCGTTTTTGCCCAGGACAAGTCCAAGAGCAACAGTATTTATATCGATGTCTCACATCTGAGCTATGTCTCGGCTGCTATCCTTGAGGACAAACTCCATAATCTTGCAGATAAAAGTCTATTAGACGGATGCATTCCAATCATTAAAAATGGAACTTGTTTGGGCCTTGTTTACTTTGCAGATTTGGAGATTTTTCTTGATCGGATAAATGCGTTCTTGGAGGAACTGGGAGTTACTCAACGGGAAGTTGGGGAGATATATTGTCGAGTGATAAATAATGACTATGGAGTGGAAGCTAGGCCTCAACAACTTGATCGTGATGCTGACTACTTCACATACGGATCTACAACATCACTGGATGAAGTTCTGTTGTTTGAAGAATTGACTGATCTTACCCCGGTTGTTGACACCCATCCACTTTTCATTAGCGAGGACTCGCCATTAAGTTTTGCTAACTTGATATTTGAGCGTATTGGAAATCGAGTCATTGTGGTGTTGAACAAGGATGATGGTTCTTGTTGTGGGGTTTTGCATAAGAAAGCTTTGGTTGATTATTTACGAAGAAGTGAGTGTTTGGAAGAGTAGAGACACGTGAGAGATGACCCCTAGGAGACCATGAGATGCGATACATGCAGTGAGTGCTGTTAACTATGTCCACACAACTCTACTCGATGCGATTATGGAACCTTTGACAAGGTTGGGTTTTTTTTTTCTTCAACTTGCAGCTAATATAGAAATCAGTGATCAACTGTTGACACAAATCTAATTGCGTTGGCAAAGTTACGTAATTGATACATTGGGCTTCAAATCCAATGCCATAATGGGCCAAGATTTTGCAACTAGGAGGAGTCACATGTTGCGACAAAATTCTCAGTAACTCAACCGGGTCGTATTGATATAACTCGTACATTCTCAAATGTAGTTGGTATACCTCATATGATATGATAAGATAATGGATGACTTCAACAAAAGTGGCACTACTAAGCATATTGAACTTGAGAAACAACATGAGTGAAAATTTGTTCAATGATGCGTCAAGTGAAGGTGTGTTTTGGAAATATTGCAACAATAGTTGCACCACTTGAGAGATTAGCGCACCCTGGACATCAAGTTTATAACATTCAAGTGATGCAGAATACTCTAATATTAATTCAGTGAACCTTTCCGAAACTGATTCAACCTGGCCATTGTGAATATCCATGACTTTGATTCGAATGTTGTCGAGAACGGTGGAGTTGTGTCCTGAGAATTGCATGTCGTTGGCATCTTTAGTGCTGAGCAACTTTAAAATGCTCGTGTCTTGTCTATGCAATATATCAGCCAAGATGCAAAGAAACTTTTCCGACACTCGACTCTCTTGAAGCTTATCATTCAAGTACAATTGGAAAAAGAAATTACCAAAAAGTTTGCTCAAGGTAGTGGTCGCACCCAAGCTCAACAGTGTTTGCAAAATGAATAGCATCGTGTCGTCATTATATCCTGGCGCTTTCGACAGCTTTTTAAATGTGTTGAAGAATGTTGCAAAGTACCGTAATCCCAATTCAGGACTTGCTCCCTCTATAACTTTGATCACTGCACTCAAAACTGGCTCATGAACGGATATGTGCAACAACTGGTCTTCTTGGGGTGGGAAAAAGTACAAGTTTGTCATGGTATCAAACACACTAATTGGCTGTGAACACAAGTATTCATTCAATTGACGTGAACGGCGACTTAGTCTGACGAAATTTTCCCAGTTTGCAGTTTTGAATGTTTTCAACTCATGCATAAGAAAATTTTCGATAATCTGCTGGATTGGAAGAAAATTAACCAGATGACGACGTATTTCTTCGTTGATGGAAGATGAGGTCGACTCGCTTAACCAAATAGCGATTATGTCAATATTTGTCTCACAAATTTTCAAGACATCACTCACGAGTCTGTTAGTGTAAGGGAGTTGGTATGGAGCCAATTGATTGTGAATGGTTAATGTGTTTAGATGATTTGATAAGATAGTGGCGACGATGGGGATGACTTCCCGACAATCGTTGGTGTTGGCATAAACCATGAATGTCCTGATAAAGTATGTGGTTAGTTCAAATAGCTGTCTGTCATTGCAAACAACTGTACTCAATTGGATCGGAAATCGATGTTGCAAGACTTGCCAAATAGAGCGAGTGTTTGTGCAAATTTCCGTGGTACGTAGCTCTCTCAATTTGCTAATCAACTCATCAGTGACTCTTTTACGTTCCTTAATGCATAAGTTTGGAATCTCAAACTAGAAAATATATGTTAGTATTTCTTATCTGTTTTAAAGCTTGTGTTAACCAACCGACTTACATTGTGTTTATATTCCTCAATCGGTTTTATAAGTTTATCCAACTGGTGCTTTATAACATAGGTATCGTAGTTTAGTCTCAGTCTAGCGCTAAGCTCCTCCAACTTGATAAATGTCATCTCTTTTGAAATACAGTTGTAAGTGTATAAAAGTCCAACTCTGATATGCTGAAGAATGATGATTGCAAAAAAAACAAAAGGGAGAAACACCCCATTTTTGTTTTGCGGGTGATGAAACACTTTTAATTTTTGTGCAACTATTGTAAACACCTCCCACATACACACACACACACATACACACACACATACACACACACATACACACACTCACAACTTTGACGTAGTTTTGATACAAACTATATATATTCACTTTATACAGTATCATGTGGGATTGCAATCTGTTTCACATCACAAAACTTGTTTAAAACGACCCGTTCAATTCACTGCTTATAAAGTCAGCACTCACTATCCTCAATTATACTGAAATTTGCACATATCAAGGGGGGGGTAAGATTATGTATACCTACAACAAGTTTGGTTCAAGAGCATCAACTGCCACGTCAGGAACACAGTCATCCAAACAGACTCTGTCCTCTTTGTCTACAGTCACCACAACCCACACAGCTCACACCAAGTCCGCAAAGCTTACTTCATCGGATAAGATAAAGAAGGATACAAGCAAGGCAGTTTTGCAGCCCATAGATTACAGCAATCACTACATACATACTGGCGAGTATGCCACAAAGTTCATTCGCAACGTGGTCAACCCACTTGATGGATACCCAAAACTAAACAAGCTACACGAGTTAAAGAAACAACAAGTGGCCAAACATGCAACAAAGGCATTTGGTGTTCGCTGTCCCACTGACAAAATTGTCCCCACCTTAAACACTTGGATTCAAAAACACAATCTCAAGTTTGATGTCATCATGATTGGTGCATTAGTTGACAACCAGTTCATATTACCAGTTTTGAACAGTTTACCAATCCACAAATTGTGCTCCAAACCCGGCTTCTTGTTCATATGGTCAACTACACAAAAGATTCAGCAATTGACAAAGTTGTTAAACAATGACAACTTTAACAAGAAATTCAGACGATCAGAAGAGCTCATATTCTTGCCAATCAACGACAAGTCGCCTTATTATCCGCATGTCGCCAACACGGCCGACGAAAAGTCGTTATTTGAAAAGCAACAATGGCATTGCTGGATGTGCATCACTGGCACCGTGAGAAGATCTACTGATAACGATTTGATCCATTGCAATATCGACACCGATCTACAAATTGAAAGTCCATCATGCTCCAAGAATGACCGCAATGCATGTCCTGTACAAATTTACCAAGTAGCTGAAAATTTCTCAAATTCAAATAGAAGATTGCATATTATCCCATCAAAATTGGGACCTGAAACTCATGTCAAGTTACGGCCAGGTTGGGTTATACTTGGTCCTGATGTTTTGCTAAACAACTTTGACCCTGAAACTTATAATGATGAGTTGCATGCCAAATCGGTCATCAAGTACAAGCAAGCTAATACTAGTACCAATACAAATTTGTCGGCCCTGTTCTTGGTGCCGCAAACAAGCGAGATTGAGGATTTGAGACCAAAGAGTCCAGTAGTTTCAGCTAAGTGAGTTAGTATATATACTTAGTAGCATATTAATTCTATCTTTTTTGGTTTAATCAGAAAGGTTTGATGAATGTTATAGGAACTGTTTGTCAGCACTGTATGACTCTGAGTGAGCTGAGTAAGGTTTTCATCATCAACAAAGATACGGAATCATTGCGAAGGTTACATACATCTTGTAATTGAGTTCAAGGAGCTGAGTATATGTATAGATTCCAATGCGTAAAATTTTTCTCACAAAAAATATGAAAAAAAAGCAGGCATTAATTTAATCGATGTAAATAGTATAGTCAATAAAAAAAATAATAAATAAAAAAACAAAAAAGCACTATACACGTACAATATGGGAGTATCGATCATATTTGAAAACAGGATATCAAAAATGGAAAAGAGAATACTGCAGCTCCCCTCTTTTTTTCAACTAAACAAACAAAAGAGCAACAAGGTAGCCCAATGAAGCACCAGCAGCCAAGCCGACAGCCCCATTGGTGACAGTGGCTGGAGATTCGGTTGGGCCCACAGTTTCAGTTCCTGTCCCCGTTTGGTTAGTGTGAGTAGTAGTCTCATTATGAGCAGTGGTGTGCTCGGTGGTGGTGTTTGCCTGACCTCCAGCTCCACCAGCTCCCTCTGTTCCAGTCGTAACATCTGTAGTAACTGTCACAGTCTCTTGTCCTTCAGTGCCGGTGCCTGTGCCTGTGCCGGTTCCAGTTCCAGTTCCAGTACCAGCACCAGTGTTTGTATCCGTAGCGGTTGTTGTTTCTTCCCCACCTGTACCTCCACCATTGGTGGGAGTTACAATTACTCCAGTTGGCGATTGTGGTGTTGGAGCTGGAGTTGGCTGTTCCCCACCGGCTGGCTCCTCAGGATTGATGATGGTTGTTGTAAAGCCAACAATCACAGTACTCCCTTGAGCCACAATTCTAGTTGCAGCTAAAGCGATTGGTATTAAGGATGTGAATTTCATTGCGAGTTGTTGTGTGAGAAATTTGGGATGAGGGAAGAAGGACTTACTTCTCTCTGGTTTGTAGGGAACAGGCTGACTTCGGGTTATTTATACGGCCAGACATGATCTCTACTCCACTGCTTTTTCCTTTGGTTGCTACTTTGCAAAGGAAATTACAAGCATGAAGCCATATTTGTTGCATAAAATTGCAGCCAAAAGAAAAATAAAACAAAATATAAAATAAAAAGGAAAAAGGAAAAATCTTTTTCACAATGATGCTGCAGAATCAAGTATTTAGGTAATCTCTCAGTGCGATCGTACTTATTTACTCTACTAAAGTACGTACAAATGCGTTTCTAAAGGCAAACCTGTATTATAATCCAACTATTAACTCTTTTAAATCTAAAGTAAGGCAACAGCAGCAACATAAGCCAATGCTCCAGCACTCAAGTAACTAGCACCAGCACTAGCAGATGAGGAACCAGAAGAGCCACCGCCGCTCGAACCAGATGAAGACGAGCCGCTTGATCCTGATGATTTACTGCTTCCACCTCCAGATCCTGATTGGGTCTCGGAGCCACCAGATCCACCGGCAGCACCAGTCTCTCCTCCACCAGTCTCCTCAGAACCACTTTCTTCAGCACCAGTTTCTCCAGCACCAGTTTCTTCGGATCCAGTTTCTCCGCCACCGGCAGCACCAGTCTCTCCAGCACCAGTTTCCTCGGATCCAGTTTCCTCGGATCCGGTTTCTCCTCCAGCACCTCCAGCAGCTCCAGTTTCTCCAGAGCCGGTCTCTTCCGCACCGGTCTCCTCAGATCCTCCAGCAGCATCACTTGCACCTGAAGCACCTTCAGTCTCTAATGCACCACCGGCAGCACCAGCACCAGATGTAGCAGCACCGGCAGCAGAAGCACCACCAGAGGTAGCAGCGCCAGCAGCGGAGGCTCCGCCGGAAGTTGCAGCACCAATAGCACCAGCAGCGCCTGAAGTTGCAGCACCAGCAACAGATGCAGCACCTGAAGCAGCATCAGCGGCCAAGACGTTCTTTTGTTGAACGATATCATTTTGAGCTGCAACAGCGAATGAAACGATTGGTAGTATAACTGAGTATCTCATTACTGTAAATTTTATGTATAGTATTAGTGCGTTTTTGGGAACGTTAGTTGTTGGGGAGAAAGAAGTTCAACCCCAAATTCAGGATACACTGTGCCCTTTATATAACGTTTCAGCTCGAAGGCTTTGTGTGGCCTCGAGGTTGAGACACGAAATCGGAACTTTGATTCATTGGTCTATTGTTTGCAAACGTATGATTGCTAGAATAGTAACGTCATTAGTGCCACATTTTTGATGTATATGTGTGTGTGTGTGTGGTTGTGGAGAGACGGATTCTGTGATACTTGCTCCCTGTTTATGAAAGGGGTAACCCTGTTTTATGACACAAATAATGCCGAAACAATAGGTCAATTATCCTGCAGTGTGTATGTAGTGGCTGTGTACTCTGAAATTGTCCTACACATAGCTTTTCTCGGGTATATCACACGACCAACTGAAAGCCTTATTGTTGCAAATGTGTTTATTTACCTTTTAACTCTCTTTGGTAAATTATGCTGGTTCACCCACAACAGGAAAAGCTCTTCTCATATTACACGCACAACCCCTCACAGCCTACACTTGTTTCAGGCACGGTTACACGAACTCGAGACTTATCGACGCGCTCTGATCAATCGTGCTCTACATAGCAATTTTTTTTTCTCTTTTGTGGTTTGCGGTGAACGCCCCCCTGAAAGGAATAGTGATTTCGCCAAGATGGTGCCTGAGAAAACACGCAACTACAGATCCAGACCCAACGTATTCAGCTTGAGCGAAGAATGTACATCCACGAATCTCAAACGGGACACCATTAGAGAGCAGTAGTGCACAATGTCCAATTTTACAGTCACACTACTTTCCGCAAGAATATGTCTATATTAATGTGCAGTACATGCAACAAAAAGTGTTTTGTTCATGACGTAATAAGATTTATAGGTTGCGGTTTCCCCATTAAGCTTTTCAAGTAGCATGTTGCATTGCAAAGCACATTGCTGTGGCAGTAGTGTCTACCTATGTAGTTTTTTGAACCCATCTATGATGAGTTGAAATCGACGGCAGTTGTTGTTGTTGATGTTGTTGTTGTTGTTGAAAACAGGTATTAAATTTCGAAGTTCTTGCTTGTCGCTTTTTTGTTTGCGAAAATTTGCGACACTACAGACACAACGCGAACGGAATACTCTAGAAAAATGGCGATGTAGGTGCTCTGCAATTGATAATTACAATCTCTAGCTTGATTCCAGACACCAATAATTGAAGACTATGAAGAATTCGTCTGGTAGGTATGAGCAATAGAAAGCATGCCCTTGACTACGATAGTGATGACGATTATAACCCTACCGAATCGAGGACAGGGAAGCGGATGAAGTTGGATCAACTCTTTGGAAATTTGAAATTGACCGACGAAAAGGTAGGTGCGGGAGCAAGTGACAATGATAATGAGAACGAGTATATTCTTCCTCAAATCAAGTCTGACAGTGGGGGGATATTCAAATCTAAACCTACACGTACCTATACATCATCTCAGCTTGATTCTTATATAAATGAAAAAATCACCCAGCATTTTCAAGACATCATTACCGAGGGATTGAAGGTTTTGCCTTGGTACAACTACCGCTTCTTAGTCCTATACCGTTTGCAAAGATGGTTTGTCAAGCTTTTCAATCGATTCATCAGAAAATATAACGCAAAGAACAACACATCAATCCGGTCCTTCAAAGATCACAATCAGATTCTTCAAGTTGTACGTGATGGACTACTATCGTGGCAAGAATTGGGCAACATAATAAATGAAGAGAACAAGTTGGAAATGAAACGGCTTTCACTCAAAGAAGAGAAAAGACAGGCAAAGAGAGACAACAAGAAAATTGAGGAGGAGACCGAGGCATACAAGGATTTGGGATACAACTATTGGGATAATTTAAACTTTGACCGAGACTTGGATATGCTAGATGAGACAGATGAGCCCAAATCTGAACCGATACAGGAAGAGGGCTATGTTGATGTGCCGATGAATGAGTGTGAGGGCGAGGGCGAGGGCGAGGGCGAGATGGCTAATAAACACAGTAGACATGGAGTAGAAGCAAACTACGGCTCATATTATTATAGAGATTGAACTAGAGTTTGCCTGGATGTATTAATATATGGAATTATGTTGTTGCACTTCTCCCTTGTACAGTCTTTTTATTTTTTATTTCATACCAATGCGACATAATAATTCATACCAACGCGACATTTATTTTGTTTGTCTTTGAGAGAATTATTGCACAATCGACTTTACCATATCAAATGAAATAGGGCCACAGAAGGATGTCGAAGCAAGAGTCAACTTAATTTTGTCTCGTTCAGGTCTGCATCTCTAAAGAGCACAAATTTAACTCACACATGGGACAACTAACTATTTAAATCAAGACGAGTCAGCCAAAATAGAGTGGCAATGATACGCCTTTAGTGTGCCTTGTTATGTCTTTAATATATTGACCCTCAGTTGGATTTAGTTTATCGTGGGCCCTTTTTACACTAATGAGAAACAAGGCATTTTCAGTACTATGTAAATATTCCATTAATCGGTAGTTTGATAATTTTAAGTAGTCCTCTTACGTGTATCGGCATAAGAAAACCTCTTCTAAACAAACAATTGCCGAGTTACTCGAAGCATTGCATGTTGACTCCGTGACTACTATGCTGGAGGAGAAGCTAATAGCACCTTGGGTAGTTTGCACAAGGCCCAGACCTTAGTATTAACAAACCATAATGTGTTGCAATGTTTACTTGCTGACATGTCGCTAGGAAATGAGCACTCAATATGTCTATATCTGGTCAATGCAAGACTGTAATTTGTTGAGGATGATAGTGTGTTGCAGAAAAGGGTGAGGGTGATTTGAAATGCCCGTCGATGAAATGCTTTGATCCGAACTAAGTATGGGCGTGTATGGTGTAGTGAAATGCTGTTTCCATTTTGAGTGACCGATCGATAACACTAATGTGCCTTTCGGAATATTCCACACTTTGCCTTTGCGAAGTCAGGCTCCTTGAGGTATCGAGTTTACTAGGAAACAATCCAACAGCCTTTGTTTTGTGAACGGAATTTGGCATGAGATGGAGATAATCGGTTTATAACTATCTACACACTGATAACATTTGTCTCTCTGAGAAACGATGCCAGTCTTTGTAAGATATATTGTGTTCGAACTACCGCCATATAATATGAATTATAGCAACTTGCAACAGTTTATGCAGTCGAAATCGGATGTTACACAAACATAGAGTTTCCATTGCAAGGTGAAAGAAACGTATGAGAAAACAGAAAAACCAATAAAGAGAAAATAAACTACACTTAGCCAGCAAATTTCCAGCGTACAATAAAACTTCCACGTCGGCGGTGTCATCTGAGGCACACCACATCATGGGAATCTATATAACAACATACATACTCACACGTGGATACTCAATACTATCACTGAAGAGCCTGATACAATTTTGCAGTCCCAAATTAAGCGCCGAGATGTCAGATTAATAATGAGGAAACTATAGGAAAACTGGCTCCTAATATACATATACAACAAATTGCCTTGACGTTGGCTGATCTTTAATCTCACAATAATGATATCCCTAACAAGCCTACCGTGTGAAGCATTGGAAGAGGTTTTCCATCAACTCGACCAACACTATACATTAGCACTTGCTCCGTTGCATTCCAAGCTTTACTACATTGCTAAACCTAAATTATACAGAAACATATATGTGTACACACCCTGGCCTATAATTGAATATGGTGTCGAATCAAATGAACAGGGAGAAACTTTCCACATCTCCAAGAACCTCAACAACTTCAAGAGCAAAAAGTATTCAATCATCTCATCAGATACGCTTGAGAGATATTTGGCGAAAATGGACAAGACACAGGAGATTTATCATTTGGAATTATACGGACACAATATGACAATTATTGAGTGCATTCTCAGACACTTTTCCAAAATTAGGTTTTTTCAACTAGTTGTACACTATGGTTATTCTCCGCTTCATTATTGGAAACCATATTATATTTGGTTGCTTCAAAATTATATTGGGTTTTGCCCTCACAGTACAGTTTACATTGCCCCAGAAACGAACTTGGCCAAATTCCCCATATTTCATGATAATATCAATCTGATCCGAACAGATGGCATCAACTGGGCAGATAATTTCGATTGTCTTCATCGGCTCAAAAACGTGACTAAGCTAGTAATGCTTGTCTGTAAAGGTGATAATCTTACAAGTTATCGATGTTGTTTCAAGCTTCAAGTATTGGAAATTAGTCAATCCTCGGATTCTCATTTTTTTCCCAATTTTCTATTGAGTGATGCCTTTGAGACCGTTTTTCTTAAAGAATTGACTCTATTTGGAGATTTTAATCCCAACACTTTGTTTAAGAGTAATGATTTGGAGGAAGAGTTTCCAAAATTGTTGCTCTTTTGCTTACGGCTCTCGGGAAACGGAGAGAGAGAAGCAGCTTTCGCTCTTCAAGATTGGAGAGGGTTTAAGCATAGCAAGGTCAGATATCTTATCTTATCAAGTCTCAGTTGTTTGACAAGTGATGTAATGGCAGTGTGTGACTTGCTTGCAAAGTTTCCTAATAGTAGTGTCAACTGGTGGTACGAACCGACACTACCCCTTAGGTTGCTAACTCACAATTTCCGAGTTCTCAGTCCCGATCTTCCATTTGGAATCATTGGGTACCACTTTTATGGGTTGCACTGCAGGGACCTCACGAATTTCAGGCAGAAGGTTACTATCGGTGGATTCACGAACAAGACTGTGGAAGTTAAATTAGAAAAGTATTATACTGAAGCTGAGTTGTATACCATTTATAAACTGTGGTCCAAAAGGTATGTAAGTCTGGAAATGTCTGAATTTTAGAGTTGATGGTGGGGTTGTTTGTCTTTGAGAGAATTATTGCACAATTGGCTTTAATATGGTATCAAATGAAATAGGGACACGGAGAAGGACTTTTTCATGTTCTATTTTTTTTGGTGCGAAATTTGGATTTGATAATTTTCAGTGGTGTCTGTTACATGTATCGACACATAGTGAACAATGTCATCAACAATGTCTTCGAAGGTAGCAATTGCAAATTTGTGTAAAGCTTTGTTTCTTGAATATTTAGTTGAAGTTTGCCAGCGTAACACTGATGAATCATTGAAAGATTTACATAAGAAGTACGAAGCTCGTCGAAATAAAAAATCTGGGGTCAATATTCAAGAGATTAAAAAGTTGCTCAAGCCTGCCTTAGGATCAAGTATGGATGGTGCAGATCCCAATACCATTGCCGAAATAGCAGAGGAACTCAGTGATATCCTCAAACTAGACAAGAAAGCAATATCTGTGCCTATGAATCCTAAATGTGCAAAGGCTGTTCGATCATTATGCACCACAATACACGACTATTGTAACTCCAAGTGGGAAGGGGGTGCATTATTTGCTGAATCATTAGGCAATTTAATCACCCTCTCATTCTGTTTTTATTTTACCACGGATATCATACAAGTTGGAAGTCGTGGTCATGAGTTACCAGCGAGATCAAACAAACTCAACGAGGAGATATTCAATGATTTTAAAATCAATACTTCTCCTACGCATGATATTGCAGTGGAGAGAGAAAGTTTTATGTCGCTTACTATGGGACAATTCAAGGGGTTTCAATTACCGGTGTTCTCTCTCCCAACTGATGAAAATACGGCATATGTTGAAAGTGCTTGGTCAAGTCGCTTGGCCAGTACGTTTTTAATCCCAATCTTTTCATTTTACCAGATGAAACTTTGTCAAGAAAAATTAGAGAGTATTAGTCATTCCAACACCAACGTGCTGAAGAGACCAGATTTTTCGGTGGTGAGAGATGGCTCTGTTATTGCGTTGCTGTCAGTTCATACCAATTCACTGAAAGATGTTACTGACGACGAGATCCTTTTAAGTCTTGAAATCAAATTAGGAACAACTACAAACAAATTGGATGACCCTATTCTTTTATGCGGCACGACAATAACAGAATTCTCTACCCACTTTCTAAGTAGATTCCAAGTCTATATCTATACATTAGCCTTAAAAGCACTAGCTTGTTGCTTTTACTGTGACCACACTACAAGTAAGGTTTGAAGTTTTATGTCGTATTAGTATGAAATTTTTGTCGTCTTAGTATGAACAATTATGTCTCACTAGAGTTGTTAGTTTTGTGCTCTGAAAACGTCGGAGGCGGACATTTGGCAATGGAAAAGATTTTTTTTTTTCCTCATTGAGAACGGCCATCTAATTTCACTTTCTCTCCCTTTCTCTTTTTTTTTTTTCTCTTAATTCTTATCAAAAGCTAATCCACCACAGTTCAGACTTCACCCGACCAGCACCTTTCTCAACATTCGGTATCCCTCCAATATGTACTCCATATGCAAGCTACCCAACGAAGTAGTCCTTCAAATTTTCAAACATCTCAGTGGTGAAAAAGTTCAAGAACTCATACGCTACTACAAGGGTATTGAATCAGCGCTGCCACTTTTAATTCTACTTTACCAGCGTTTATTTGGGGGAGTCTTGTTGATCCAGAATGGAGCACCCAGAGTCGATTCTGCTGGCGATTATTTACTTACTATTGACGCATTCGAAGACAAGATTTTAAATGATGGCTCGTTTGAAGGCACAATGTTTGAGAATGTACGGCCCAACTTGGTGGAATTTAAATTCACTAGGCAAACTGCCGATTACCAACGGTTCATCAGTGACTTGAATTCGCTCCTTCAACTTCTTGAATCTGACAACCCCAAACTACGCAGATATTTTGAACACGCACAACAAATAAATTTTCATCTTGATGCTCATTTAGTATTCATTGAGAATCCCGACACACTCAACTCAATCATCATTAAGTTACTTTTGGAGTTGAGTCGACACAACTTGACTAAGAAAATTAACAAATTCACCATCAAGTCGAGTGAAATAGGAAGCCTTTATGTGGCACACTGGTCTAAACTATTTCAGTATTTCAGTTCATTAAACACCCTAGATCTTTCAGAAAACCTAATACGCAGCAATCACGAGCATTTCTTAGATGTGTGGGGCATGCTGAAAAAATTTCCAAGTACGTTGACCACGCTCAACATGAACAACAATATGTTGACATACATTTCCAAAGATTTCATCCACAATCTACCGCCTAGTCTAGAGGTTTTGTTAATGAACCAAAACGACGTTGAAATTATAGAACCGTGTGATTTGCATGGGGCCTTACCTAAACTAAGGAACTGGAGCTTGAATTACACGAAATTGTGTGTTCTCAGTCCAAGTATGTTCAAAAACTGTGGTAAGAAATTCGTATTGGAAATCAAAAATACCTACTTAGCGGAAAGCGACATGGAAAAGTTGGAAGCAATTGCAAAGTATCGCGGTTTTAAGATTGTTTTATAGACAAACCTGTTTAGACCAGTATAATAGAACTGCAAGCGTTATCATCTCTGTTGCTCAAAACTTACTTCTCACTTTGTTGACATTACTTTGATATTGCAAATCTAGATCGCACAGAAGAGACGGTTTTGATTTTTCAGCGAGATACTGAAAAGGTCCACCAAATCTCGGCCACTCATACACACACAAACTCTCTCTCTCTCTCTCTCCCTCTTTCTCTCTCAAATTTACAACACCTGGTGATGATAACACTAAGGGGGCTGTTGCTAGGTCTCGTCACAAAGGCATCTCGAGGGAATGTGATATGGCCCTCTGCAACTCGTCTTTCTCGACAATGTTTCAACTCCGCGCGGCACTCCTTGGTATTGAATCATATAAGGCTAAACTCCACCACTGCGAAGCAGGGTCCGCCACCACATCAACAAGAACAAAATGGACAAGCAGTGCCTCCACCGGAAGGATCCCCGAAAGGGAATAAACCCCCTCGATCTACTTTGTTCAAGGATTTAGTCAAGTTGATAAAGTTGGCGAAACCGGAATCCAAGTTGATCTTCTTCGCATTGCTATGCTTGGCCACTTCGTCTGCAACAACCATGTCCTTGCCCTTGATCATTGGTAAAATTATTGACACTGCGAAGCCCTTAGATGACGAAGATGAAGAATCTGATGATGCAGATCCAAAAACAACCACAGAGGACAAACAATTGATATTTGGATTGCCACCGGCTCGATTCTATTCCGCATTGGCTATTGTATTTGTCATTGGGTCGAGTGCAAACTTTGGTAGAATTTATTTGCTAAGAACGGTTGGAGAAAAACTTGTAGCGAGATTGAGATCTAGATTGTTTTCGAAAATCTTGGCCCAGGATGCTTACTTTTTTGACATTGGACCTACTAAGGTTGGGATGAAGACGGGTGATTTGATCTCGCGAATTGCAAGTGATACTCAAATTATATCAAAGAGTTTGAGCATGAATATCAGTGACGGAATGAGGAGTATTATTAGTGGGGTGGTTGGCGTATCGATGATGTGTTATGTGTCATGGAAGTTAACTTTGTGTATGAGTTTGTTGTTTCCGCCCTTAATTGCAATGTCCTTCTTTTATGGAAGACGGATAAAAGCGTTGTCAAGGTTGATTCAGGAAAACATCGGTGCTTTGACCAAAGTAACGGAAGAAAAGTTGAATGGTGTAAAGGTTATCCAATCATTTGCACAGCAGCAGTCTGTGGTGCATGGCTACAATAAGGAAATCAAAAACATATTCAATAGCTCATTGAGAGAAGGTAAGCTATCTGGTATCTACTTTTCAGTGAATGGGTTTCTCGGGAACATAACCATGATTGGGTTGTTGGTTATTGGTACTAAACTTATTGGTATGGGTGAGCTAACCATTGGTGACTTGTCAAGTTTCATGATGTACGCTGTGTATACAGGCTCGTCGGTGTTTGGATTGGGTAACTTCTATACCGAGTTGATGAAGGGATTGGGTGCGGCAGAGAGAGTGTTTGAGTTAGTAGAGTACCAACCGAAAATCTCCAACAACATTGGCAAGAAGCTACAGCTCAAGGGTGACATTATCATCAAGGATGTTGATTTCAAGTACCCTTCAAGGTCAGATGTAGTGATATTTGAGAAATTGAATTTGCACATCAAGGAGGGGGAAAACTTGTGTTTGGTGGGACCTTCAGGAAGTGGCAAGTCTACCATAAGTCAATTGTTATTGCGCTATTATGACCCTGACAGTGGACAGATTATTGTTGGAGATGAATCGTTAACTGATATAAAAGACTTAAACTTGAACGACTACCGAAGACAAATTGGTTATGTTCAGCAAGAGCCTTTGTTGTTCAGTGGTACTGTTAAAGAGAATGTAACTTTCGGTAAGCAAGATGCAACAGAAGAGGAAATAGATCGAGCTTTGGAGTTGAGTCACTCCTTAGCGTTTGTCAAGAGTCTCCCCGATGGATTGGACACTAGAATTGGTGCATCCACTTCAACGCAATTAAGCGGTGGACAAAAGCAGAGGATTTCCTTGGCGAGAACTTTGATCAAGGAACCCAAGATCTTGATATTGGATGAAGCAACGTCAGCATTAGATTCTATCAGCGAAGAAGAGGTGATGAAGAATTTGTCTGGATTAAATAGAAAAAAGGGAATTACAATAATTTCAATTGCCCACAGGTTGTCCACGATCAAGAATAGTGACAGGGTTGTTGTGTTTAATGAGAATGGTGAGATTGTGGAGGATGGCGATTTTCACACATTACACAACGATCAGAACAGCCATTTCAATAGATTGCTAAAATCTAGCAAACTTGAGTGAATGCACTCTGCGCTTTGTATATACTGAAATATAGAATTCTGAGATGCTATCATAACGAACTGATGTAATACTGATTGCGTTTGTTTTGCAGTGAACCAGTGCGTCTTCTAAGCATGAATTGTTTACTTCAAACATGTACATGTGTTCGCAAGGAGACATTCATTATTGGTGTTTGCTTTCGTGGAAAATACGCTTTTGTGTGGCGAAAACTTAATTCCGTTAAATTTCTTAATTCCGGATTACGAAACTTTACACCAACTCCACGTTGAAACATCAAACATACATCTACCTGACTTCGAGTAGTATATCGCGTGAAAGAGAAGCTCACTGAGTCAGTTGAAATGGGTACCAGCACTATCTGCACTCACAATTCCCCCTTCCCACTTCTCCCTCCCCCTTTAGTCGACTTAACTTAGATCTTCTCGAATGGAAAAGTGGGACATGGAGGTGTGGTAAAATAATAGACTTTACTGAGCAAGAAAAAAAGCGCGGGGGTGGGGGAAGCTTCTGTACATACTTCTTTGCTTCTTCATGACATTTTCAACATGTCAAAAGCAACCATTAACCACTTTGACTTGATAGACGTTATTAACGCTCTCTTTCAGTTACTACAACTGTCGAGTGTGTAGCTCTATTAGGTATACAACTTAAATTATATTACTATCAATCGACTGATTCCTTTGAAGGAGCAATCTTTTGCGCATCAAGAAACCCTTTCTCTCTCTTTTAACAATTGTTTTATTTTATTATCATTTTTTATTATTTTTATTTTGATATCTTTTACGTTTGCCCTGTGAATAATATACCAAAGCCTTCATTTACAAAGGATTAAGTATCTCCTACTGTTGCTTCATATCTACCCATCCCCAACTTGGCAGTAAATTCTCCACTATTCAAATCTCGTAATGACACTAAAAGATTTCATACACGACTTGCACAGGTCACAAGATGACGTTGCGGAGCCACACCACTCTAGCCATCACTCCGATAAGCAGCCGGGGGAGTGCGATGACCATGAATCAAATTCGAAGTTGCAAGATCACAACTTAAGTAGTGGGAATAATATTGCTTTAACTCCCGATAAACAGGGGAGCCACACCAAAACCGAAGAGCAGAATCGTCACAAGAGCACAACTGAGAATGACAACGAGACGAAGCAACAGGACGGCACACGTAAAGAGCCCCCCACAACTTCCAAGTCGACTTCGGCTAAGCAGAAGGACCACCATCATCGTCGCAATCATAGCGAGGACACGGACGAGGACCTTGCTATGCCATCTGGTGAAATGGACACAAACTTTTTCTCCACATTGATGAACAACACGACGCTCAGCTCTGGGTTCGGTTCATTGAGAAATTTGCATAAATCGGCAATGGAGAATTTCTTGAAAGGAAAAGGGGATGGATTGGACGAAGAAAAGAATCGCCCACATCATAATCATCATCATCATCAGAATCATCAGAATCGTCAACACCATTTACTCTCAGGCACGGGCTCGCACACCTCACCAAGCCGTCCGTCACTGCCTATCAACAGTGCTTCCAGTTCCCGTCCCGTGAGTCCACTTCCACTGAGTATACGTCCACTGAGTCCGCAGCCAGACCTAAACCTTGAACACTCTGATGCATACACAAAGAGCGGTGGTCGTGGATTTCTCCATCACAACATCCATAGTGAGGATAACTCCAGTGCGGAAAATTCGAGCGATGAGGAAGAAGAAGAGTATGAAGCTGAGAGACTAGGTAACCCAGGCACAACTAGAAGGAATGCTGACGCTAAATTCAACGCTGACGCAGTGTCCCCTGCTTCACCTGCTGCAATGGATCTGGAGCTCACATCTTACTCGACTTTGAACAATGAGCCCTCAAATGATACTGGGGCGCTTACGGATGGTGACACTATCATAAATTCTAGAAAAAATACCATTGTCTTAGATGCAGACGGTATGGAGGGTCTCACCGAACATCAAATTGAAAAACTAACACCATTTGAAAAATCAGTGATTGAAAAATTAGATCCTCACCATATCAAGGAAGGAGTGTTGGTGAAAGTGCGGAACCGTCAAAATGAGCCATTGGGTGAGGGCAAGGGATTGAGTGCGACAAGGAAATTGCTACGTTACAAAATTGCCGAAAGATTATCAAAAACGTTTGAGTTGAGCCCTGATGATTTGTTTTGCGGAAATTACAATGCGTGGTTGGTCAAGGATGTTATTCTTCAGGGCCACATATATTTGACGGAGAAAGCATTAATTTATTTTGCATTCTTGCCCAAACGAACAAGTCTTGAAGAAGTAGATGATCCAAGAAATTTTGACGACTCAGCAAATACCGTTCACAAGGGGGCCCTAGGTATGAAAACTGCAAAGTATGGAGATTCCAAGTTTCAATCGGTCCTTACCCATCGATACTGGGCAATCCTTCGTACCGATACTTTGACCATATACAGCTCGTTTACCGACTTGTACTTTCCCCTAAAAGTAATTGACTTGAGAAGTTGCTTATACGCCGAAATAGCTTCCAAGGATAAAATCAAGGATATGACTTCGCCCGCTCTGCGAGGCGTACAGACGCCCTCGCAGATGCGTAGTGGGTACACATCAGGCCATAGTACTCCACCGTCAATTCTGGAAACTGCGTCCGAACTTGATTCAATACTCTCACAGGAAGGGTTCGATGCTACAGAAGACAACATCGAAGCGAGAAGCTCTTCTGTATGGTTCAATTTGGTGGCCAAGAAAAAGACGTACAGATTCCAATGTGACAACTTGCATTCGGCAAGGCAGTGGTGCAACAATTTGACAAAAATGATTTTCCAATTGAATAATGCCACCACCACTGGGGAAGTGTTTGTAAAAATTCCAATTGCAAATATTACTGACTTTAGGCGTCGAACATTATTTGAAGAGGAAGAAAATGCGCTTGATGATACAGAAAATGATATACCTTTAAGCTTCAGTGTCAAGTATGTGAACACTGACCCTCTGGAGAAGAGGAAACGAGATAGAATAAAAGACAAACTCAAGCAAGCAGAAGAGGAAGTTATCTTTTTGATTCCAAAAAGTGGTCTTGATTTCTTCAACTCTTTTGAAGGTGTGATACAGAAGCAATCAGCACGGATGCACGAAAAACCCAAATTGTTTGGCTCGAAAAAACCAGAGTTGGAAAGATCATTCGCCAGCTTGTCGCCCTCAGTCAATGCTGTTGTTCAAAATTTGATCAATTCGAATTTACCCAACGAGAAGCGAGAGACTAAATCAACCATCAGGAAACTTGGAAAATCGTTCGGCCTCCCTTTCAAGGATGAATTATCACAAAATTTCGATCTAACGGAAAGGTCAGTGGACCTGGATCACCTTTCTTTCCCGCATGCAATGTCGGAGAGCGTTTTCCGAGATTTGGAAATCACGTTTGAATCAACATTCAAGAACTTGAAGGATGCTTCAGCTAGGTGGGACCATGATTATGCACGCGCGTTCACGGAGTTTGACAAGCTTCCAATACCATCACTTCAACTAGACTCGAAGGAGTCTAAAGGTCGCGGTTTTGGTAAAAGTATAAAGTTGTTTTCGAATATGGCTGCGAGGTTTTCCGCCTCACCGATCCACTATACCGTTCAAGACAAGTATTACGTTTCCAATCAAGAGGACCGGGAGGTTGCTTTGAAACATTTTCAAGAACATTTTTCCTTGTACAATTCGAAATTGGTTGCTGCTTATTTTTGTCACTTGATAAGGACTGTACCCGTGTATGGAAAGTTGTACGTGTCTGAACACGAGATTTGTTTCCGTAGTTTGCTTCCTGGTGTTTCCACAAAGATGATTCTTCCATTGACAAGTATAGAGAGAATGGATCCTATTAGCGGTAAGATCTACGCTGGTACTAAACTCACCTTGGAAGGCGCAGAGGAGTTGGATTTGGAATTTGCGTTTGTCAAGTCTCGTGATGATTTTTACAATATTGCGCTTGAGATTTTGGACAAGATTCATGCCAATGAAGGATTCCGGCCAAAACCACACGAGTGGGGACCCAATCACAATTTGGAATTGTCCAAGACGAGAATGGAATATAGTGATTCAGAGAGAAGGAGATTAGAAGATAAAACTGACAATCAAAAAGATTTGGAGATTGCTGAACAAAAAGTCAGTCTTGCCCGGATAAAGATGTTTGAGGATCGCTTGACAACTGCTTCTGGCTTGGACATTCCAATTATTTTAGAGGATTCGCCATTCTTTAAGACGGAAATGAGACCGTCAACATCCTACAATATCACTCTTCTTACCATTGGATCGCGTGGTGATGTCCAACCTTACATTGCATTGGCATTGGGTTTGCAAAAGGAAGGACATACAGTGACGATAGCTACACACGGTGAGTTTAGAGATTGGGTTGAAAATGTTCATCATATCAAGTTTAAGGAAATTGCAGGAAACCCTAGTGAGTTGATGTCGTTTATGGTGGGACATAGTACTTTGTCAGTTACATTTTTGAAGGATGCACAAGCCAAATTCAAGGATTGGATAGCAAAGTTGTTGACCACTAGTTGGCAAGCATGTCAAGGGGCCGATATTTTGATTGAAAGTCCTTCGGCAATGGCAGGGATACATATTGCAGAAGCCTTGGTCATTCCTTATTTTAGAGCATTCACAATGCCGTGGACGAGAACTAGGGCATACCCGCAAGCGTTTTTGGTACCCGAACAGAAAAGAGGTGGATCTTACAACTACATGACACATGTCTTGTTCGACAATGTCTTTTGGAAGGGGATTCTGGCTCAAGTCAATAAGTGGCGGGTGATGGAGTTGGATTTACCAAAAACCAACTTGTACCGAATGCAGCAAACAAAGGTTCCATTTTTGTACAATGTTTCGCCATGTGTGTTGCCACCTGCTAACGATTTCCCTGATTGGGTCAAGGTTACTGGATACTGGTTTTTGGATGAAGGTGGGAAAGATTACAAGCCGCCCCAGGATTTGGTGGACTTTATTGCCCAAGCAGCCAAAGATGAAAAGAAAATAGTCTATATCGGGTTCGGGTCCATTGTTGTCAAAGACGCAGCCTCATTGACAAAAGCTGTGATTGAGGCTGTTCTTGAAGCTGATGTAAGGTGTATTTTGAATAAAGGTTGGTCTGATCGTGGTAGCAACAAAGACAAGAGTAAAGTGGAAGTTGAGTTGCCCCCTGAGGTTTTCAATGCCGGCTCAGTGCCACACGATTGGTTGTTACCGAAAGTGGATGCGGCAGTCCATCATGGTGGATCCGGTACCACTGGTGCATCATTGAAAGCGGGATGTCCTTGTATCATTAAGCCCTTTTTCGGTGATCAGTTTTTCTATGCAAGACGGATTGAAGATATGGGTGCTGGAGTGGCGTTAAAGAAGTTAACGGCAAAATCATTGGCGAAAGCACTCACCACGGTAACTGAAGATTTGAAGATCATTGAGAAGGCGAAGAGTGTTAGCACGCAAATCAATCGCGAATTTGGTGTCTTGAATGCTATTGAAGCAATATATTCCGATTTGGAGTACGCAAGAAGTTTGATTTGGGCCAAGGAGTTGCACAATGCGAACTACAAACGTCATCATCCTGACTTCAAGGCTCATTCTGGAGTGCAAACGGCTAACCCATCGGACTCTGAGTCCGATAGTGATTATGACGGTGACGACACCAGCGACGAGGAAGACAATGGTGCTGGTGATGTTACTGACCGTGAAGAAGAAACGGTGACTCATGGCAAGGAGCCAGAGCTGAAGGTAAAGAAATGATGAGCTGGTAACGCAGTGATGGAGAGAAGGGTTTGCTACACCGCTGTATAAACGTAAAGGAAATTTAGAAGTTAGAGCCTTATCTAAGAGTGTAGTGACAAGTCGAGAAGATTATTCTTTTTGTCTATTTAACTTTTGTACTTGCCTGACCCAGATATCACGTGAAATTCGTCAAATGGAAATCAACACGCATGACTTCTTTAAAGTTTACTTCCCCTACAAAGAAGACTACTACGGAGAAGTATTTTGCATATTCTCACCCGTAAGTGGACAACTGTATCAATTGCCTCAGCAAACCCCTCTACATTCGTGTCTTTCAGTTCCATCTTCTCGCATTGTCACTGAAAAAATTGCATCCACAGTTTTCAACAACTTTTCTGACTCTTTTTTTTTTTTTTTTGGTTATTTTTTTTTTTTTCCATTCTCTCTCCATTCCATTATCTGATGCAGCTGTGATCTATTGGCAAAGAATTTCAACGAGTAGTCCACATAACAACTTGAATCGAATTGCGTGCTTTTGTATCCTTGAGAGATTAGATTGACAAAATAGATAGAACCACGGCATAACATTTTCAATTGTTTTCCCATACAATGGCGGCCGTTTACAAGGACATTACGGAGGAACAACGAGCAACTAACTCATATGCAAGGCTCGTTCCCGGTCAGACGATAGTTGAGATACCTGAATACACCCTTGAGTGTGGTGAGACATTGTATAATTTCCCCGTGGCGTACAAAACGTGGGGACGCTTGAACAAAGAGGGCAACAACACATTGCTAATATGCCATGCATTAACTGGTTCATCTGATGTGCAGGATTGGTGGGGTCCATTATTGGGCACGGGCAAGACTTTTGACCCATCGCGGTTTTTCATTGTATGCGTCAACTTTTTAGGATCGCCGTATGGATCTTGCTCGCCTGTCACGATTGATAAGTCGATAGGTAAGCCATATGGACCCAATTTCCCCTTGGTTACGGCCAAGGATGACTTGGGTATACAGAAACTAATTTTGGACTCGTTACAAGTGAAGCAAATTGCGTGTGTGATTGGTGGCTCGATGGGTGGTATGTTGGCGATGGAGTATTCCAGCACATACAACAATTCCGACTATGTGAGAACGGTGATTGCTTTGGCTACGTCGGCTCGAGCTTCGGCCTGGTGTATTTCATGGAATGAAACCCAGCGTCAATGCATTTTTAGTGATCCATATTACGATGATGGATATTATTATGAGAATGAACTGGGCTTGAAACCGGATTCCGGGTTGAGTGCTGCAAGAATGGCAGCTTTGCTTACTTATAGGTCGCGAAATTCATTTGAAACTCGATTTGGGAGGAAATTGGGCAAGTCTATAAGTAATAAGGATGATAGTGGTGATGAAGCAGGTAAAGTGTACCCAAAGACCAAAGATGAAGAACACTGGCTTTTGCACAATGAAGGTTCTCAGCTGACAAATGGTCAAGAGACCAACAAGGACAAGAAATTACCAACTTATTTCACCGCCCAGTCGTACTTGCGATATCAGGGTCAAAAATTCATCAAACGGTTTGATGCCAATTGTTATATATCAATAACAAGGAAATTGGATACCCATGATATAACTCGTGGAATAGTCGATACCGTCACCACTGAAGATCCGTTGCCTCAAATTTTGCAGAGTTTGAAAAAGCCCCATTTGGTCATAGGTATTGAATCGGATGGATTATTTACTTATGGAGAGCAGAAATTATTGGGCGAAAATATCCCAAATTCGATTTTGAAAAAGTTGGATTCTCCTGAAGGGCATGACGCCTTTTTACTCGAGTTTGAAATTATCAATGAGTATTGTTTGAACTTTTTGAAGAAGAATTTACCAGAGTTGTATGGTGAAGATGTGGAGTTATTTGAGGATTGGGCTAAGTATGTTCAAGATGTTGATAATGGAGGAAATTCGGTATTTGGTGAGGCAGAAAAGAATATCACCAATTGGTGAGTGGAGTGGTGAGAGAAGCATTTATATAGATATATTGGTAATCTATGACCATGATGGCTTTGATGTAATTGTACATAAGTAAACCGCCAGCCCTCTAGATTTTAGAACGAATTTTTGCAACAATTTCTATACAAAAATGTTGATGAACTAGAGAGAGTATATATTTGCGAACTAGCTTGGAAGAACGAGTGAAACGTCAGAATCAAAAGGATAGGAATAGTGCAGAGGATATTCTTGAAGCTGGTAGGAAGAGCACTTTGGAAGGCAGTCAAGGGTTAGATAAGATGCTGATTGAGTGGTAAACAGAGAGATAGAAGAAGTACAAAATAGAAGTCAATGACGATGGGAGAGTTTATGTGTTTCTGTCCTTTGAAGTCGTCTTGATAACGGCGGCATAGATGGTCACTGTACGCATATTTACCCTATCCTTCTCGAAATGGTTGAAGCTTTTTACAACATCCCTGTGTTTCAAGTTGACAAAACAGAAAATACACGAGAAGTTTGATGTTATTATATGTACAGACACCAAAAAAGCAAAAAACAAAAAAAAAACAAAAACACACACACATTTCTGTTTACATTTTATCCCAATTGGGAAGTTAGGTTTGTTTACAATACAATGCTAAAACACCGTAACCATAACAAACATTAAAAACACATTGCAACTAATTCAAACCACAAACTACAAAACCAAATAGCTAACTCAACTCCACTAGACAGTGTTTGAGTAATCCTATCGTCAACAACAAAAACACCGCATCTATCTATCACTTTCTTCTCTTCGTACATATCACTTAGCGGTAGATTTTTTGTTGTTCTATTCCCATTCCTTCATTCACTCATTCAATCACGAACTGAATATTACCGCTTTCATCGACTTCATCATCCAACGCATCAACAGACAAACGAATAAAGGAGAGCCCGCAAAAAAAGCAGGAACATTTCACGATTACAGCTGACTCAGAAACGGACCAATTTCAATTTCCTGCCAACACTTTTGCGCATTCGCTTTTCCTCTTTATTTTTTTTTTTACTTTATTTGTTTTGACTTTTGAAACATCAGGTGGTATCGGCACACCTGAAACACATACCCACACCCATACACCCAGATACCCCAACAAGTGTTGGACGACCAGCACTGAGCTATCCACAGTACTTTGATTTAAACATCTAGTCAACGATCTATCCTTCATTCATTTATCATTTATCAGTCGCTCCTTGTTGTTGATACAAAAACAAATTTCCTGATAAACAATGTCGACAAACGTGGTAACTACTACACATGAAGATGCATTACCAAGCGCAGAGGAAGCGCCACCTAGTAGATCTTCCTCTAGACATTCTAGTAGCTCAAGTCACCACCCTAATACTCAAATTCCAAGAACTATTCCTGAGCTACCGGTAGACGCCACAAAAACTAGCACCGGCACTAGCCAAACACAGAATATTCCCTCCTCAGCATCAAGCTCCACCATATCTTCGCAAATACCTTCTGGAATGCAGAAGAGAGTTCAAAGAGAAGTGCGATTTGGCGCATACGTTTTAGGCAGCACTTTAGGAGAGGGTGAATTCGGAAAAGTTAAGTTGGGCTGGAGAAAAGATGGTAAATACCCAAGTCAAGTAGCCATCAAGTTGGTGAAACGGTCCACCATAGCTAAAGACTCTGACTCAGAAGTGAAAATACACCGAGAAATTAACTCGTTAAAGTTGTTGAACCACCCCAACATCGTCAACTTGGTTGAAGTGATGAAAAGTGGGAAATATGTCGGTATTGTTTTGGAATATGCATCTGGTGGCGAACTTTTTGATTACATTCTACAGCACAAATTCTTGAAGGAGCCAGTGGCGAAGAAGATTTTTGCACAACTAGTCAGTGGGGTAGATTATATGCATTCCAAGGGATTAATTCATCGTGATTTGAAGTTGGAGAATTTATTAATGGACAAACACAAGAATGTTATTATCAGTGATTTTGGATTTGTCAATTCGTGTGCTGACAAAAGCAACGATCTCATGAAAACAAGTTGCGGGTCACCTTGTTATGCAGCACCTGAGTTGGTGTTGACTCAGAGTCCGTACGAAGGTAGAAAAGCAGACGTTTGGTCGTTGGGTGTCATTTTGTATGCTATGTTATCTGGCTACCTCCCCTTCGATGACGACCCTGAAAATGAAGATGGGGCCGATATCATCAAATTGTATCATTACATTTGCAAAACTCCCTTGACATTTCCTGAATATGTTAGTCCTTTAGCTCGTGACTTACTTAGAAAGATTATTGTTTCAGACCCAAGAAAACGTATTGGAATTGAGGAAATTAGAACCCATCCGTTCTTATCTCAGTATGCTGCATTGCTATCAATTAGACAACCAGAATGGGATAGAATATATCGCGAAAAGCACGCAGCTACATCTGCCAGTGTGACGGCTGCTGTTGTATTGGCAGAGCAACAAACGCCAACATACAACAAGAGATTCTCAATGATCAACACCCCAACAAGTTCTTCGTCCTTGATGGGTACCCCAATGTACCATCATCATAATCATCATCATCAACAACAACAAATGTCGCATTTGCAACCACAGACCCCAAGACCACAACCTTCTACAATGGAACATCCAAGATCATATTCCTCAACCAGTATCAGTCTTTTGTATGCATCTCCTTCGATATCGGCCACAAATACACCAAGGCCTACTGATTTATCCGATGGTGGTGCCCACGTTGGAAAAGCCACCTCACCCAAAAAGCCATCTTCAGTCTCTCCTACTAGAGGACACCAAAAGTCTGCATCTATCTCAAACTCCAGCTCTTCTGCTAGTTTTGCATTGAAGTCAATGGTTAATGACGAAACTGGTACTGCAAGACAAGTGGCAAACTATCCAAACACATTGGCAATTCCAACTATTCTTGAAAGTCCTACAAAAACAACTTTGGAGTCACCGATTGCTGCATTGCCTCCTACTACAAAATTATTACCACCAAAGGAATTTTCCAAGTTACCTCCAGCGGCTAAGAAACCAAGACCTACTTCATATCATCCATCTTCGATGACATCGTCAATGACGACTTCACCAGTTACAATCTCATACAAAGATATCATCAAATTCCCGGCTACAAACGCCAACATTGCATATCCAAACTCCATGACCCAATACATATCAACATCTCCACCAAAAGAAAACGTGATGACACCTGACTCGAGACCAATTTCAAGTCGAAGAAATTCAGTAGTTACTCATGTACACGTTAATGGCGTGTTAAGCAAGGATAACTTGGTGGGGCATGGTGGGTTGAGTGGATACAATTCGTCGCCTGACAACAAGAGGAATTCAGTATTGAGTTATTTGGAAGATAAGATTGAGGCATTGGATTTGACTGAGAGTGTTCATCCATCACCTACAAAGTCGAGCAAGAGCTCGGTTGTGGAAAGGGTCGGTAATGTCTCGAATGAGAAGGAGGGTCAAGTTGAAGTGGCGTCCAATGCAGAAGAGCCAACGAAGGAGGGAAATGTCGACACTAAATCAGATGTACAAGAAGATGGTAAAAGTGATGATGACCAGGATACCAAAGCAGACGAAGGCAATGACCAATTGCCCGCGCCAGTGGAGGAGTATATCGAAACGCCAAAAGTTACAAACAATGTTGATGATTTGAGTAAGGTTGCATCGCGACCTTCAGATACCAAAGCAGCTAAATCAGTGGTTGAAGTTGACAGAAAGCCTAGCACATCGAGAAGAGCTCACGAGGAGAATAAAGAGAATCGCGAACACAGAGAGGCCAAGAAGAGAAACAGATTTAGTTTGTTGTCGTTCTACAGTTCATATCATTCGTCAAGTTCGAACGTGTCTTTGCCCGCCGGAAAAGATGGTTCTAATGGCTCGGTTACTAACGCAGCCAACTCCACTGCACCAACGCTGTTGTCAAGAGATAACAACAAACGTGACATTTCAGGTACAACTGTATCCTCAATCGGGTCGACTGCCATAAAACCCAAGACCAAGACAAGAAAAGTATTGGAGCCAACAAATGAACCAAACGTAAATAAAAAGGACTCAAAGCAAGCGCATTCCAGTTCGTCTAGTGTTATTAATGGGCATCATGGTTCAAAACGTCACTCAATCGCTGTAACTCCAGGTGGAAATAATAATAATAATGCACCAAAGGAATCAAGCGCAGCGAGAAAAGTTATGGATTTTTTCAAGAGAAGGAGTGTAAGAGTGGGGTGAAAATAAAAGGGAAGGCGATTGAAGTGTACGGCTGGGGCAGTTTTGTCATTGCCGTACCTGTTTTATTTTGTTAGACACGCTAGTGTAAAATTTCGTAATGTTGTAAGATGATGTGTGTATTTTAGTTCAAATGAAAATTTAGTTTGTTATTTGCCGTTGGACTGTGAGACCACAAGTAAATCGAAGAACCAATACAATAAGAGGGATGCAGGAACGAAAAAGACCACAGTCGCCGATTCGATCGGATTTGCGTCTCCTTTTCGATCAATGTGGCTGTTTGTCTATTTGTTTGTTGACATTTTTTGCAATCTATGTGTTTACATGAGTCAATCTAAGGCACTTTGTGATCGATCGTGACAGGCAAAAAAAAAAAAAAAAAAAAAAAAAAAAAAAAAAAAAAAAAAAATTTATAAAAAAAAAAAAAATATAAAATTTAAGTCACTTTTTTTTTTTATTCTTTC